TATAATTAAATAAATTTATAATATTTAATAGTGTCTTGCGACATCTAAGTACATTGTTTTCTTTATGAACAATTTAAATGTTTTGTTAACCATGTTAAATTGCAGTAGTCAAATTGACTTGATACTTCTTTTAAACATAATAGTGCAAGACGAGTGTTGCCCCCGGATGTTCTTAGGCGTTTCTGAAGCTCTGTGAATTCGAGGTGCATATGTTTCTTTAATAGGATTTTCTTTATTTGATTTTTGAGGTTGGAAGTAAAATCAATTGTGTTAAATGGCCAGGCAGGTTCATCGCCCTTTACCATTATTTTTTCTAAAAAGGAAGCCTAGCAGGTGTGATCTTCATAGCTCTATGGGAGGCTGCAGTTCGCAGGATTCATTATACTGCAGATTCTTTGAATTCTCTGTATATTTGATAGCTGAATGCTTATCAGACAGCCATAGTTCCAGTTAACCTTCAGAGTGCAAATAAATTCTGAGGCACCAAAAACATCAATAAAGTTGCAAACATAAATACTGGCAACCCATCTCAAATCAGTATAATAAGTTGGGGAATGAGGCTTTTATGGGTGCCTGCATAAGTGTCACAATATATTTATGATTAATTAATAATTTAATTACGTAGTAAATACTGTGCTAATATGTTCCGGATGTCTCCTTGAGTAGATGGGTGTTGAATAAACATTTGTTCTTTGTTGTTCAGATCACTGAAGATAATACTTACCCTGGGTTAGGCGGTTGTTCTTCACGGTGATATCAGCTGAACACTGTGCCTCGTTAACTCACTTAGTGATTTTGCTTTGTCTCAGTGTTTCTTTTCTGCTTGCCTTGCATGAAGGCAGAATTTCTTTTCGTAAAATTGGTTCTTTGTCATGATGTGAACAGTGAACATCAGGATTGTGCTTTACAAAGACTGGAATTAATTTTGAAGGAAATCAGACTGGTTTCTGTGGTTCTGAATACTGAATTTTTCCTGGCACAGAGATTCTGTTGTGTAGACAGCAACAAAACACAGAAAAAGACCCTTTAGCAGTTTTAAGTAATTATAATAATAGTTAAAGTAGTATTCAATTCTCTGTTGTAATCTCTGCTTTATGTATTGTACTTATGAATTTATTTTCATATGCGTGTATGATAATGGACAAAAGTACAATCACAGGGTATTCAAAAACACTCCCAGGTGATCCATTTGTCTCAGTTGGTTAAATAAACTTGTAAAGAATATCTCAGAAAATCTCAGAAAATAGAATAGTAGGCTATATCTGTGTGCACAATTATCTTTTATTTTGGTTTTTCAAGGTCTGTGCTACCTAAAATCCTAAAATGCTGTTCATGGGGAAAAAAAGAAACAAGACCCAGTCAAAATAGGAAAAGATTATTTTTACTCTGTGGACAACTTGGGATGAATTATAAAAAACAGACTTGCCCCTGACATTATAGTGATGTGTACAGGGTTACACCTTTAATTTAGAAGAATGACATGATCACACAATGCAATAATTACAGTAGTATGTACTTCATGCAATATGCTGGAACAGAGTGTATCCACTTGTTTTTATCTCCTAGTTGTCAGTATCAGCATAAGATTCTTCCAAGATTTCCTTTAATCCATTATCCTTTCTCCCATGGCTGACTTTATCAGGATCCTGGCAGTACTCCTATTCTCAACTCACTTATCCTCGCATGTGTTTTTTCTTCTTTACTGTTAAGCGTATTGCTTCTTTGAGGCCATTTTATTGCTGTATCTTTATACAGTATGGTCAGTGCTCACTCCTTCCACAAAAGTTTTCTGTGAGAGAAAAATTGTCAAATGTTTTTTCTGCTAGCCTGGCCAAATGAACAGTCAAAGAACTTATTCTGGTCAACAAATGGCCCATGAAAGCAGATCAAGGAGAGCATGCAAAAATGATGTAACAAGAACACCCAGCAATGTATGACAGAGGTGTTTGCGAACACATTGCAAAGCTTACTGCTGTTAATGTTAAAAATAGTGTGGATTTTGTTACTTGTGAGAGACAGCACTGTGTTGATGTCTGCAGTGCTCATAATGAGGGTGTTTCCAACATCATGACTTAATTTACAGCGTCTTAAAAATCAGGTGCAACTACCCTGAGACGTAGAGACATAGAGAATAGATTAGACAGTTTCACCCCAGCAACTGAAGTGAATTGCTTTTATTGGTAGCTTCAAATTTTCTTTTTTTTTCTTTTTTTTTTAGCAGCAAAACCACAATTTGTGTTCTGGATGCTTTTGTTAGCTTCCTGGGTAATTTGGTTGCGCGGTATTCCAGAAAACCTAGCTTCCTGAAAGACCCTCATAAGTGAATGAATAGCTTTTATGCCATACTCATTGGCTTCAGAACATTCTGCCTCCCCCAGATCCTCTTTAGCTGGATATTGTTTTTAAGCTTATTTTTTTAAGTTAACCAAGTAGCAGAAAAACACACAAAAAACATTTGGAACTAGAAATACCAAATGTACGTCGGCCAGATGCCCTCCTTCCTCTCACGTCACTGTCCCTGCTTCCCTACGTTCAGAATGAGACTGACGCGTTCGACAAAAAGTTAGCCCTTCACAGATAACAGATAACAGAGCTATGGTTAAAACACCACGCCCAAGTGGGAGCAGGCATAAATGCATCCTTATCTGGAGGCTTGGCTTTGTGCACATTCCTGATGTTCAGGCAGGAGGAAAGTTCAGAATTATCCTCTAGCTGTGCAAGTTGGCTCATTTAATTCTGGTTCCAGTTTTGCATATGTAGAATTCATCACCTTATCAACAGCGTCTCCAGCACCAGCATGGCATCAGTGCCAGTTCAGCTTGAACCGTGGTGAATTTGAAGACTGCAGGACTGTACCGCTCTAGTGCTAAATGATGGCCTGCTGTCTCTTCTCCCTTGCAGAAAAGCGACAGGACAATGGCCGGGTATACTTTGTCAACCACAACACCCGCACCACTCAGTGGGAAGACCCCCGGACCCAAGGGTGAGTCTCCCCATCCTCCTGTGTCTCCATTTCCATTTGCCCGTCTCTCCGCCTACTCTGTGCTGAGCTCCCGATGCGGCATTGGAACAAGTCGGAAAGAACTCGGCGGTGGAATCCAGAGGGGTGTCGGGAAAAAAAAAAGAAGGCAGTAGAAAAAGAAAAAGTGTTTCTGTGCAGACAGCTATTTCATTTGGAACAAATGGAAAAAGACTAATGAGAACTTACAGACAGTTTAAATAAACATTTCAGTTCATAAATGCATTATCTTTTGATATTCTTAGCACAGTGCACGTTCACTAATGATGTCATCTTCATTATTTTCCAATATGTTTGGGAGGCTGACTGTTCTGAGTTAAGGACTAGAGTCTGTCAGTGTGTGGTAGGTCAGATTCTTCCATTCCATGCTGAGTTGTCTGACAAGTGATAAGTAGATGCACATTTATATTTAAAGCTACCCGTCGTTTGATAGAAATGTATATCTTTGCTGCAACACTTCTGGCTGTCTCTCTTGACAGAGATGAATGTGCTCATATACATGTGCATGCTTTGTGAGCTTTCCAAGCGCTGCCTTTACGCTGAGACAATGGCATTTCTTATGTTGTGACATGGTAATGGGGCACAGGGCTCTAAGGGGGACTCTGTGATTTGACCAAGCCTTCCTGCCCTGCATTCAAGGGATGAAGAATTGTCCAGCTGAGCAGATTGTTTCCGAATGTCCCCCAGCTTGAAAAAGGACTATCGTTTCACTTTTGTTTCGTTTTCTGTAAAAGCTCCTGCTGCGCCAGTTTATCCAGGCCTCCCTCTCTGTATGGATCTGGCCCTGGAGACAGCATGTAAAAAAACCCAAGAAGCATGCGAGGTTAACCTTGTCGTGCTGTTGGGGCTTCACAGTGACCAAACAGCCTGCCAGAATCTGGCAAAGGACGAGATCTGGCAGTGGTATCCTGCAACAGGGACAATTGTGCTGGTGAACTGACGATGACATTGGTCATCGCAGTGAAACCAAGAATAGACAGTGGCTGCCAACAGCCAAATTTGGGCCTGTGACAGTTGGTCAGAACAAAGTTTTTTATGTTAGCCAATCTGAGTCAGCTTAAGTAATAGTAATTTCCAGTGCAGCAGAGCCCCTACTTATCTCCATCTGTGTTCCCAATCAAGTGGGCAACTTGGTAATTGAAAAAATACTCAACAAAAGGGGCTTTTCAATATGGGTTTGCTCATAACTTTCATGTATCTTTGAATCTCAAAGCCAGAGGAAAGTTTTTCTTGTTCAGTGGGGTTCAATTTAAGTGCTGCTCGTTGGTAAGAGCTTTGCATTTGTTAAATTGGCGGTATGGATGAGTGCCTTCAAGCTTCTAAACTAACTCTGTTCTGCATTGACTGCTTTCCATTAGAGTGTATGAAGTGTAGCTGAATAAGCCAGGGTAGTCTGATCTGTTTGCCACTCCAGCATGGAACATGGGGCTGTGCAGAAGAGCATTAGAGCAGCCGGCACTCTGTGACTCTTGGACGTTACTTTCACCCTTTCCTCCGTGTGAAAATCAGCTTTAAGTCAGTGTTAACTGTGGTAAAAATGACACTCCAGTTTCATTGTAATTCCATACCAGATGTCATACCGTGAGTTGCAGATTCCCATCTCTCTATAGGATTTAAAGAAAGTGGCTTTGCTTGGAGTCTTGACACAAACAGTTCTGCAGCTTTTTCAAACGGCACAGATCACCGAGACTCACGAATCGGATTCCGTGACAGCCTGGCAATGTAGACTAAGCATGTCACTGAGCTACCTGGGGTTCTGTCCCGTGGACAAGACCTTAAGCAGAGCTCCTGTTGAAAATGAGCAGCGTTTGTTGATGTACAGTCCCCATTTGGATAAGTGCATCTACTAAATAATTTTAACTAAAATGCAAGAGTATTTTTAGTCAAATGTCGCTCCAGTATCCTATAGTGAGCGTATCCAGTTAATTAAAGTCATAGAAATCAGGTCAGTTACGAGTTTAGGCCTAGTTTACAGTAACGCTCAAACACACTTCTCCCACTTAATTAATTCGCCTCCCCGTCATTGTTTTATCTTTGTGTTCTTATATTCACCACCAGCTGAAATGTTATATGTTCATTTTTAAAAAGCATCCAAAACCAGGATACCTTTTTTTCTCATTTTGAAGGCAAATATCAGTTGAAACCATTGATTTCTGCACTAGACAATTAATTGGTGTGCAGCAGTAAAGCCTATAGATGACACCACACTGAAGTAGTCACAGGGACAGAGCCCTGGTGCATAGATGTATGCTGACATCTTGAATGTCAACATTAAACTTCAGACGTCTGAAAACACATCTGTGCACAAACATGTGAATGTCACTTTTTTTTAGCAGCACATGAGCTATAGCCTGTGCGTTTTAATAACCAGGGTTTCTCAGTCGAACTCCGAGTAACTGAATCGTTGCAGAGTTTGCAGAACATGCTGTGTTTTGTTTTGTCGGTGGACTTGATCCGCGTTGTCCCACTCTGAGCTTTTTTTGTTCGACTCCACAAACATACAGCATTGTCATCAAGTCTGTGAATTCAGGGGAAGACGAGCAGACAGGGCGAACTTGGCTGCCCCCTTTCTTGGGGTTCCTGAGAGGCAAAGGCAAACAGTCTCACTCCAGTTCCCTTCTTTTTAGGATGATACAGGAGCCTCCCCTCCCCCCTGGCTGGGAGATGAAATACACCAATGAAGGGGTCCGCTATTTTGTCGACCACAACTCTCGCACCACCACCTTTAAAGACCCACGACCTGGATTTGATTCAGGGTAAATGTATAGGACATTTCTGTTGGTTTTGTTTGTTTTTTTTAGGCAGGAGCAGGAGGGTCAGAGAGTGGGATCCTAGGTGCCTTAACTCCATTTTGAGGCTTGTTTTGTGTCCGGCAAATCCTTAATTAGCTAAATGATCTTTAGGAACAAGTCATAGGTTTATTCCATGCTGAGAAAAAGAAGAAGGAGAACACAACGTTTCGGCCGTGGAGCCTTCTTCAGGTGTGGACCTGAAGAAGGCTCCACGGCCGAAACGTTGTGTTCTCCTTCTTCTTTTTCTCAGCAAGGAATAAACCTATGACTTGTTCCTTTTGTAGCCTGCGCATGCTGACGCAGCTCCCCACCTAAATGATCTTTAGTTCAGCCTGGATGGGTTGAAGTCCTGAAATGGAAAGTAATGGTACCAGACGGCTGCCTACTCTCTGTCTAGGTCACACAGTACTCTCTTCTATGACCTCGCCTTTTGCTTGCATGTGCTTTGACGAAGCAAGACCTTTTTTTTCCCCAGTTTTGTCCAGTGGTTCAGGTCTAGCAAAGAACCATATGTCAAGCAGCTCAGAAACTCATGGATGTACAGAAAGAGACCCCCTCACACATTTGAACAGCTCAGTTTAATCTGAGTTGAACCAAATCAGAATAAAGATTTCACTGTCATGGTGGTAGTGTCCTTGAGGTACAAATGTGGATTATTTAGATGTAAGCGCAGTCTCTTCTGCAGTATTAAGATAATTGTAATTTTATATATATCATCTAGGTCATTAGAAAGTTACCTGGCCTGTTCAGGCAGGCTGTATTATGAAAGGATATGCAAAGACATTTCCACGAGGGCACTGCACTCCAGAAGGCAGCAGTGTTGTTGATATCCACCAGAGGATCCATGCAGGCCACCCGTGACACAAAAGGAGGTCCCACTGAGCCGACCTGCCTCTGGTTTGCACACGTGAAAGCTTTGCCTATTGTCGCATTTCTGAGACCTGCTGTACCCACTTTTCACAGCGCACTTGTTTGAATTGGCCAGCTAAGCTCAATAAGTATGCTCCTTATCAGCTGATGCCTTTATCCATATCGGCTGCATTTACACAGCATGGCATTTTTTCTGGAGCAATTTGAATTAAGTACCTTGCTCAAGGGTACAACAGCAGGATCCCCAGCCTTCCAGTTCAGAGCCCTGCACACTCCTCTACACCAGCCTACACATGAAGGTATACACACATGAGATAAAATAAGATCACTTTATTGGCCATACATGATTTCTTGTGTTAGGAATTTGTCTTATCCCATATCCAGAGCATATCCCAGCTTGCTCTCCATGAGGCACACAGACAGGGCGAGAAGCTGGGGGTCATAGCGCAGGGTCAGCCATTTATATGGCTCCCCTGGAGCAGTTGGGGTTAAGGGCCTTGCTCAGGGTCCCAATGGAGTAAGATTCCTCTGCAGGCTGCTTGATATGAACCGGCAACCTTCCAGCCACAGGCGCAGATACTAAGCCACAGAACCACCGCTCCGCCCTACATATATACAGCACACTGCAGTGCTGACGGAGCCACTGCAGCCAGTGCAGCCGTGATATTACGGCCTAAAGTAGACGTGGCTCTCCGACAGTGACAGTCACTGTTCTGGTTTATTGATCAGTTGACTGGGGGTATTCATTTTAACAAGGTATATTTCTGACCATGTAAAAAAAACCAATAAAAACGTTTTCTGCCGGTTTTATACACATTTCAGATCCCTAAGAAAATGGCTTAGTCAGCACTGCAAGCACAGGCATATTCACTGGTTCATTTCCCTGTGGAAGTGAAGAGTTGGCAAGCTGGAACAAAGACCAATGCACGTCTGTATCTATATATTAAGGAAAGTTTTATGTTCCCTTGGAGAAGGGGTAGTGTGTCAAATCAAATGGTTTTGCATTTGGGGAAAGATGTAAAACATACGCAGGCAAAAAAAGAAGAAAATCCTTATTTGTTGTAATTGGAGCGCTGCTTTAATGATTCAGGCATTTTGACCAAGACAGGGAGATTGTAGCCAAGGGGAGTTTCGCCAGATGACTGCTGGCCTCGCTCCCGCCCATGTGCAGAGCTGACTGGGCATATCTCTCAAGAGCAGGGCTGGCTGCCCCGGGCCACAGCCATTTCGCCATTGTGGTAATGGGACCACAGGACGAAACAAATGGCCCAAGTCCAAGCTGCAGCTTTTCTGGACAGGGTGGGATGTGAAGAGAGAGCAGCTGTTCGGCACGAGGATCATGATGTGAAACTCGGTGCAACACCTTGCTGTACTCCTGCGACCTTCAGCCAGTGATATTTCTAGAGTTCCTATGTGGGAGCAGAGATCCTCTGTTGGAGGTGAAGTGCTGTCTACCAGGAGGCTCCTGGTTCAAATCCTAGATTAGCCATTGAGTTCCTGTGCAAGCAGTCTAGTGTGGAACTAGTGTGGCTTCCATTATGGGTGATGCAGCAACAGCTGGTTGTATATTTGCTTGAAAATTGCTTTGGATAAAAGCTTCTGCTAAATGACTACTTAATAATTATAGCAGTACTACAGAATAACCTGTAAAACCTTATCATTCAAAGCTGGGGCTGGACAGCAGCAGGTAGTATATAGGGTTTGATTTTTATAAGACGTTTCTGGTCCTTTTAATAAGGTACTAAAGTGAAAGAGTTCACCTCCCCCTGGTGGTTTTGTGATACACCTGTCATAGTTTCATGCATTGGAAGCTGTGGTCTTATACACTGTTAACAGTGTTTTCACTTCATTACCAACCTACCTTTGATCCTTTGTGGAAATATAAGAATCAGAAGGCAGGGCATTCCCACAGAAATGCTCATCTATATAGGACTTAACTGTAAGTTTACTTTTCTGATCCAGTCCAGTGCCAATGCAGCCAGTTAACGATTCCGTCAGTTGCTACTCCTTTCAAATCATACTTGAACAGGATTAAGTGAGTCATAAAGACTTTAGGTTTGATTCAGAGACTGGAACAGATAATGAACATGTGTGGGATTTTCAGTGTTATTCTTGGGAAATTCAAATTCCTATTGACTCTGGAGCTCTGGAAGGGAGCTGTTACAGCAGTCTTTAAAAATTCATCTGTTAGGAAGCAGACAGTTTAGCTCAAGAGCTCAGTTCAACTGTAAAGACACAGCTATAGGCAATTCAGTGCATTTAGTTAAATATCTTTGCCTGAACTGGAGCTTGTCTCACTTTTGCAATAGGCAAGTAAATTTATTGTGACAGTTTGATCAGTGTTTATTGTGGGGCACATCAGTGTTGAACGGTGCCAATGGGTAAAACAGTCATGATGACATTCTGCTCCAAGATATTGGTTTTCAGAGCTGCTCTGAAAATCCAGGCCCGTGAAAAATGTTCTCCAGTAGAGCACATCCTACCTAACTGCAGTTATGTGGCTCGTGAAGTTTTGAGTGGAACATCAAAATACGGTTGACCCAGACCTGTCATGTGGAGAAAGGGCGGGACAGTTTTGCTGGAACTGTTCATCATGTGGCCTCGCAATTCCTGATGGCTTCTCTTTGTCCATTTCTCTTTCTTTTACAGTTCGAAGCAAGGAGGGTCTCCTGGAGCATACGACCGGAGCTTCAGATGGAAATATCACCAGTTCCGCTTCCTCTGTCATGTGAGTATTAGGAATTCACCCAGGAGCACCACCAGCAAAGGTCAATCCATTAACAGGATCTTGTCAGTCAACCCTGGATTAGTGCCGATTTGTGTGATTTCTGTGTAATGGCAACTTCTTATTCATTGCTTTAATATATAAAAGCAGCATGTTTGGTGGGTTATGGTACACACTGACTTTCTCTCGTTGAAATGGATTAAGCTTTTCTTCAAAATAGCTGACCGAACAAGGCTGAGTACTTTCTCACGGCTTTTCTTAATTCCACTTACAATTGGCTAATTTGTCTTTGTTTCTGATCCATTAGCTAAAAGTGTGTAGATGCGACGTCTTTGAATGTAATACACCAACTTCATGGATCATTAACAGAAATGTGGTACTAATGGCTTTTAAGCACATGAAAGTTTTTACCTTTTTTCTAGGTTGAATGGGATTGAAGGTTTTTATTTCTTAAATGACACCAGCGTAAATGACTTAAACAAGTGATGATCACGTTGTTAGCCAGGCTGGCGAAATAACATCAACAGTAAAAATAATAACTTGGATTTGTGTAGATCCTTTCATCTTCAAAGGTCCCATAAAGTGGGAGGGAATTAATTTAATCCGCCGCTGAATAGTACGGCTTTCTGGGATGGCACGCAGCAGCTGTACTGTGGGATCTTTAAAAATCACGCCAGTTTCCATTTTCGTTTTTTTCTGAGCTGATCAGCATCTGCAAAAATGTAGTTTCTGCGCTCTGCAGTCTTGAGGAGCTCAGAAATCTGCTAGTGTGTGTTTGAAGATTATTGACACAGCAGAAGGCTAGAAGAGGTTGCAGCAGCACCTCCAGCCTGCCCCTCCTTCCTTGGATTTTGTGTAATTGTAATGTTACAGCGCTGATTGTGGGAGGAGCTTTCAGGAAGTGGGCGGAGGAACGTGGTTTTCTGTGCACCTTCTTAGACAGTCTGTTGGCCTGCAAGGAGGCACAGTACCTTCTCATTCCGCCCCTGGCATTCACTGTGTCTGCTAGGCATGAGAGCCTAGCTCCTGTAGTCTTTTAGGGCCTGACTTGAGCAAGGTCTCGGAGCCGAGAAGGGCAGTGTCTAAAGGCTTCCAGCCACTCTTATATCTAGGACAAGCTTCAGCAACCCTTGATCTGATGAAGACGGATGTCTGCTGAGCAGATGTGCTGCCTATTCCCTTTCTTGTCTTAACAAAATACCCTTGCCATAGTTTTAGAACAAAAAATATCTGTTTTCAACTTTTGGCAGGCTGTTTAATTTTCCCTGCTACTGAGGACTTGATCTGTAAAAAATAGGAATGCACGCATCTCTAAAAAATAAACCTTCAATGTCTAATGAAGAATTTTTTCGTTACTCTCACCAAAAAGCATATAGTGTATTTACTTTTACTACAACCCAAACAATTGGAACCCCATAAAAGTTTCCTTCTTCCTGTCTCCCACTACATCATCTGTATTAACGTAAATCGAATTCTACCCTGATATCCAACATGTCTTTCCAAAAAGAGTCCTGATCCAAATTTAGCCTGTTTTACTGTCTGTACTTCAAACAGGGTGAAGACGGGCTTTAAAATCTCAGCTGTTTGAGCCATTTAGGGTTTGAGAAGCTGCAGGCTCTTGTACATAAAACCAACACATGGTGCTTGGATGTTTGCTTGCATTAATGAAGCTCTCCTGCTTCATCAGGTCACTATACTGCACAGGACAAGGAGTGGGGAGCAGTAGTTAGAGTTCTAGACTCATAGATGTAATGTTATAGGTTCAAATCTCAGGGTTCAAAGATGTACCCTTTTAGCAAGGTACCGAAATTGGTCCAGTGAAATACTTTACTGTATAAACAGGTGCAAGCTTAAATCTCTTTGAGTAAAAAAAAAATATTCAGTAATATATTGAAGGTTTTTCTCAACCCTGGAGTGAAATTAACTCTTCTACAGAGTAATAGAGACCTGCACTGACACCTCTTGCATATATTGGTCCCCAGTTATGGGACCAGCAAAAACCAGTCCCCGAGTGGGTAATCATAGTTTCCGACAGGCAGATGTGTGAACACGAATCCAGCTTTTATTGAGCACGATCCTTTGACACGGGAGAGTTTCTGGATGTTGTTCTTGCGTTCAAACATATTGAAAAGTTTTTATGGTTTCTTGGGAATTGCAGAAGGGAGGTTCAGCAGCCTTGGCACCTCTATATTGTTCCATTGCAAGTCTTTCTTTCAGTTAATCTGTTGTCATTGAAATAGCCTTCAGCTGTGGGATCTGTTAAGGGGCAGTGGAACAGAATGAATACACCATTGTATTCTCGTCTTGGCAGTGCAGTGTGTTTCATACCCCCAGCTGTATTTTAGAAGAGCGATGCAATGTATTTGTATTTTTTAAAAGGGACAGTGCTGACATATTTTGGGTGTGGATTGTGCGGGAATATACACAAAGGAGATTTGTGTGTTAATTGTCTGTACTGGATATATAGGGAATGGATCCTGTTGACAGACATAGAGAGAGTGTTCTTTTAAACACGTATTTATGATCTTGAGAACTTAATCTGATGCTATGAAGTTCGCCGCAGCAGAAACTGGCATACAGTATGAGCTATTCCTTTATGGGTCTTAGTGTCATCTTGTAATTTTAGACAGCCAGAAAAATTCCACTTGAAGAGGTGTCAAAACAGCTGGGAAATCCATTCTACTTTCTGTTGTTGAAACCATAAAAACACAGACCTTTTAAAGAGTGCTTAGAATACCCTGTGGAGTTATATGGAAGAGGCTTCTTTGGCAGTTTATTGAACTCCTGGAAGATATGTTGTAGATTCTTTTTTTTTTAGCATGTACATAAACTACTTCTTTTTTTTATCCAGCTGGCAGCTGGGTAGTGTATTTGGAAGGTCGGCAAACGTTTAAGCCAGATGTCTGTGCTCTTGTCTTGTCTTTCCAGTCCAATGCCTTGCCCAGCCATGTGAAAATCAGTGTCTCCCGGCAGACCCTGTTTGAAGACTCCTTCCAGCAGGTGAGCTTAAATGAAACCAACATGGACATGTGGTGGAACCAAAATCACCGTGATCACCACTTATTTTCTTCTTATGCCTTCCAGCAACTTCCTCGGGCACGAGTCTGTTTGGCTTGGCACTGTGACCCACACTGTGATCGTGCTTTCAGCGTTATCAGTAACCTGCAGGCCTCAAGCCTCAGAAAGAGGCACAACGAGCCTGAATGTTAGTGGTGATACAGGCTGATTAACAATTAGTGGTTATTGAAAGGTCGGAACACAGTTTTTATGGCCCAGTGGGGATGTCTCTAGGTTAACCTAAGATTTAAGGGCAGTCTTTATTCTTTGATTTCAAGACCTTTAACCCATCTTTCCTGCTTACAGATCATGAACATGAAGCCATATGACTTGCGCCGGAGATTATATATCATAATGCGTGGAGAAGAAGGGCTGGACTATGGAGGTATTGCTAGGTAGGTGTTCCCTGGTCGACAGGACATACTACATGTGCTGTGTGTACAAGACGATAAATCACCTTCCTGCAAACTAACTGGGGTTCTCCAAGCTTTTTGCTCCTTGTCAGGTCCTCTGTGACATTATTTGCAGATGTTTAAAGGTGTGAACCTACCAAGAGACATGAGGGCACAGTAAACACAGAGCAAATAGTAAAGCTCAAATAACTGGCAGAGCTATTCATTGCCACATGATCTACAGCTGTTTACTTAACAGAGTTGTTTTCATTGCACAGCATCCCAGTTAATTGTTGGATTTCCACCAGGGTCACTTGAAAGGCATCTTCTCATACACAGTGTGTCCTTGAGACCTGCTGTCTGTCTCACAGCTGCTGGAGAAATAACTGCAGAAACCTCTCTCTCCAGGAGAGTGTTTTGAGAAGGGCTTTTCTTCAGCAGCTGCGTGTGATGTCAGGCCTTAAGGGCACACTGCCTCAACGAACCAAGCTGAAAGCTTGAGAGAGATGGAGGTGGAATTTTAAGGACTAGCCAATCTTTGTCACGCACAATGAAAAAGAACAGTAACATGTTAGTTAAACAGCTACCATGTGGTAATGCGTGGGTTTTCAGAAACCACCTGCTTGCTCCTTAATCATTGGGTACTATTCATTAAAAGGTGATGGAGTTTTGTGCTGGAGCAAACAGCTTTGATTGTATTTCTGCAAGTATGTTGTATTACAGTATTTGTTTCTATCCGTTTTCTGACAAATCTGTCGGATCCCCCCTCCAAAGTCAACAACAGTTCCTTCAATCTGTATGTAATGCCTGTTGTGTGAGATTACTAAAACTATTGGAGACTGATGCTTGAACCTAGCTGTTCAGTGACTCCAGCAGTAAATCCAGCATTGTAAATCACTTGTAATCACAACAGCACAGATGCTGCTTGTTGGAAGCACCGGTTTTGTGAATAGGCTTTGCTACTGAGGTTAAGGTGTTAATTTTGTTTTTATTACAGCAGGAAATGGCTCCTACAAGCTTTTTTTTTTGTGCCCGTGCCAACATTTCAGTCTTTGCACGCCTCACAGGTCCAATATCTTCCCTCAGGGGGGAAAAAAAAGTAGAATCAAATATTATAGCATGCATTTCAGTACGTGTCCTTGTCAGATGCGTCTTTTAGGTTCCAGTTGGGAAGGAATTTGAAATGTGGACCCCTGTCTGGAGTCCGGAGTATTACAGTCGGCCCATGGCTTCTCTCGCTCTGGGGGGCGATAGCAGTGGAGTTTGCAACTCCCCGGATGATTCCTGCTGAGCCAGAGTCAGCCAGCGCTGACGCAAAGCCAGGCACTCTGGGGGCTTGTTCTTCTCCGAGCAGCCCAGACTTGTGAATGCCTTCCAGTGCCACTACTGTTTTGCAGAATTGATACAGGATGCTTAAATACGTTATTTTTTTTCTATAGATTTCTTTAGTGCTAAACTAGTTTCTATGAGAAAGTTCCATCCTATATAGTATTCATTGTATTCCAGTTACTGCCACAAAATGTTAATATTGATTGAGAGACACCCCTCTCCAAAGTGTCTTAAAGATGCACAAAGACCCATGAGCAAGGCATTAGGCATCTGTAAGCTGTTAAGCTGCAGAAAAGTACACTAATTCAAAAATGCTGTAAAATAGCAGTATATTGTACAGCATGCAAGAGGTTAAGAAAGCTTTGAAGACTACAGTACATATAAATTTACAACATCAGCTTCTTTTACAATTTATTTAGGTAGGGCAAAGTGAACAGTGGACAACATCACTAATTGGAAGCACAAGCAATTGGATGAAATTTGTCAGAAAACGAATTTGATTTAAAAAAAATGAAAAAAAACTTAAGCAAACAGTTTGCCAAGGAACAGTTGTTGAGTTTCTCTTTGTTTTGCAGTGGTGTCAGGTCTTTAGTCCCCCCCTTGTATGTACAATGTATTAGATGTAGCTGTAGCCCTCCTCTCCTGTGGCTGTGGGGGGTCGAGCCTGTGTTTTGGGGATCCCATGTGTGTATCACTCCCTGGTGTGACCACAGCAGCCGGACATCTCCGTCTCATCCTTCATCCCTCCTCCTCCTCCACCTGGTCCCTTGTGTCTGTGTGTGTCTTGTCCTTCTCCGGTGTCTTGCCAGTGGTTTTACCCTATGGTAGGTTACGTCATGCTGTTCTACCACAGGGTAGAACCACGGACAGGATGCCTGGGGATCTCTCTGCATCTCCCTGGGAGCGGCGCCTTGTCCCCCTGTAGCCTGCTTCAGTGGTGTTGGGTTCCTGGGGCTGAATCTGATGGTTTGTCCCTCCTTTAATGTCACAGGCCATTGGCACCTGTTGTTCCCACTGCTGTTGGAATTTGCTGATTCGCAGGTGCAGTAGTTGGCAAATTTATCAGAACACCCCTGTGATTTGGTAGCTTTGAGTTGAGGCCAGTGGACAATGCCCTAGAAAACACTGAAGCTTAGCTCACGATTTCTGGCCAATAGCTTCAATATTCCACATGCACGTCCCCCACAACTGTTGTGGCTTTTCACAAGACAGATGCAGAGGTACGACAGTGCTGTCCACTGGTGTGAAGAAGGCAGTTCTACCATCAGACAGTAATTTTAGAATACTTTCAAGTAAAACAGGGGACTGCATCAAATTGAGAAGCAATAAAATACTGTACCGTTTTTTCTCTGGTTGTAAATCATGGAGTGTTCTTATCAATTTGCATACTACTGTAGAAGTGTTTGTCATGTATTTGTAACTTCAGCTGAACCTTGGCTTGCCTGTAATACTGTGATTACGCCATGTAAGCAACTGAACTGATCAATCAATCACTTCAGCTGCTCTGCCTTCACCTCGCTTAGTCTTCCTTATTGAATTCGACACCACTGGGTAAACATTTTTGATCGGGTCCCTACTGTGAAATTTTGTTAAATGACAATATACGGTTCTAAATATGCATACAAAAGGCATATGTCAGTTTAAATAAAAATGCTTTGAGGTAAATGTCAATTCAACTGACAGTACTCCTTTCTTTGCAATTGTGCCACAGTGCTTGCAAGGGGAGGAAATGAGGGCAGAGCAGCTGAGCAGGTTGGGAAATACCCTATGCCGTGATGCTGTGCACAAAATCAACTGGCGCAGAGGTTAAGATACAGAAATGAATTGCAGCTGCAGTCAGATCGAGAAAGGCCGAGTCTGGCTGACTTCAGATGAGAGCAGTCCATTAATCCAAGAGGCGAAATTAGAGGGTGCAGCTGGGTGGAGCTGGCAGATTGCCTCCATTCTGTAATTCTGGGCGTGAGGCTAGTCGTGCAAGGGTGGCGGCTCAGAGCATCGTCTGCTCTTGAAGAGTCTCGGCTCCCAGAGAAGTCTCCAAATATAGACAAGCTTTGCGCCCCTCCTCGTGTTTCTTACTAGGTAAAAGGAGCATGACTTAAAAATAATATTTTTCTTAGGGAAAAAATTGAACTCTCCAAATCCCCAAAATAAGAATATACATTACTTTAAATTACAGCTGTCAGTTTATTTTATGTTTTAAAAAACTAGACAAACTTAAGTTATGCAATCAAGAGGATGCCTATCAACCCTTCTAGATCTTCTGGCAGATTAATGATCCAAAAATGCTGCCATCCCGGTGAAGGGTCAGTATAGCAAGTCTGTAATGAGTAAGTGACGAAGTGTGGGGAGAGAAGACTGGGGCCAGGAAGAGGCTTAAAATCTGGAACTTGTGGTAAAAGGATTGCAGTATATAAAGAAAACATTTTCACTTTGATTGCAAATACATCTTCGGATTTTATCAGGCAGGAAGACATGAAAGCTGTCTGGTTAAATACAATGACAGAATGCCCAGAGAGGCATGTAATTACAGTTGCCAACTATTGTCAATTGAGGTCTGGCCATCAGCGGTTATGATGAATTGGCCTGTCAGTGTAGAGTCAGGGACCACAGCCCTGGAGCTCAGCAGGCAGGAAGTAGCGAATGGAATGCACTATGCCATCGAGAGAGCCAGGCACCTGACAGGATGCTGCCATCCTACAGGAAAACAATGGCAAGTTTTTTGCAGCCATTACAGGCTAAAGAGAGAGACGTGGGCAGGGTGTTTAGAGAAGGTGAGTTTTCCTAATTGTGTGGAGCCTGTTCAGAAATCGCACTGGTATCCCCTGTCAAGCACGCACAGCAAAACCATCACAGTGCTCAGTGCGCTGCGCGTTAGGGCTTTCATCATTGTTTCCCGTGGAAAAAAGATATGCAAAAAAGTCTTAATCACAGGTTAAGCTCTGTGGTCAAGGGTTCGATCCTGGGTCCTGTCAGTCCTGGGTCCTGAACTGAGATGAGGATTCCAGAGATGGTGGCACACAATTGGCTGAGCATTGCCGAGGGTAAGATGGGATAACTAGGAAACCAGATGGTGCTACCTGCAGGCTGTTGTACAGATAGTACCGGTTGTGCATTTCTCAAGTTACTGAAGATAACCTGAAATGGATCTAACTGCAGCACAACAGAGTGTTTTCTTGCTGTGGTAGCAGGGTGTCGTATCTGCCTAGTAGGGCAGCCTGTAATAAATAGCTTTCCAGTTTTAATGCTGCCTTAAATTACAAAAAGAGAAATAGAAAAACAGAAAAGCGGCAAAGTGTATAAACGTATAAAATACTGTGCACGGCACCCTTCCCCACCCTCAGCAGGTGCAATGTTGAAAGAGGGTGGGGGCGCCTGTGTAAAAAAAAATGTGCCATAACTATAAAGTTTATTTGCAGACAAAATTGCAAGGTTGGCAGTCTTGTGTGGAAGCATCGTAAATCTGTGCAATATGTGAAACGACTCCCAGTCTCCTCTGCCAGCAAAAGCACACCCACTCTGCCAGCCCTGCCTGATCCTCTCATTCCCCTGGTGCCTTGATGTTTGTTTGTACCTCTACCATTTGCCCTTTCGTTACAGTGTACACCTTTGTTGATGCTGTGGATGAAATTGTTGGCATTACTGCATGCTCTGACTGTCACTAGAGATTACGTGCTACAGTATGATCCTTGAGCAGAAAAAACAGAGCCAGTCAATAATAAATGTACTGTATTGTCAAAACCTGAGTACCTGAATTCAAGAACCCCTGCAGTGATGTTTGTCTTTGTTGTTCAAGTACTGTACTTGTCTTCAGTGTGGTATTCTTCCCTGATTCCCATGTCTGATGTTTTTACTGTTTTACTTTTTTGTTTGTTTTCCTCACATCTTATCGATGCCGGGCCTGGGTCTGATTTGCAATGGGCCGCTGAGCATCTGAAAGTGGTAGAGAGGAAACCTGCTGGGCACACTGCGGTTTGCCAGCATGGATGATGCTCCAAGGAGCTCTGACTATGACTGGAGTTAACTGTGGAAGTCAGAATACAAACATTGTGAACTCTCAGACCCTCAGTTCAGCCCACTGAACAGATAATCTTAAATGTCTAACCGCAAACCACCGAAATCCGAGTGGCGGGGATCTGTGTTCTCATGTTAACAGCCAATCTTTTATCTCTTGGCTCCAGAGCTGGTTTTGCACTGCTTCACTGGAGGAATGCTTCAGTGGGCAGGCGCTGACGCAGTGCAGAAGAGCTGCCAGCTTTTGGCATGTGTGCTTTCCTCTCTTCCTGCCTCGAAAGCTGTTACCAGTAATGTTAAGCCAGCTCCTAACTGAATCTTAAACCACCACATTTTAACTAAGATACTGTATCTGATGAAGGAGTTTTTCTTTATATTGTTTGTATTTGTATAGCTATTTTTATACTTTCATGTTCAAGATATCCGAACTTTCTAGTCTCCATGTGCAAGGTATTAAACCTCAAGGATCCATTTATAATGCTTGTATATATGTGATCAGTTTAAATATTTCTGACAACTGTGCAATTAAGCATTAGTAAGGATTAGTTCCATCCAGGATATTTACATTCTATCAGTATGCTTTTAATGAATTACAGGCTAAAAGGAAATGGAATTTGCAGCCCGTAATCAGAAGCATTGCCGGATTTTCTTTGTGGATACATGCTTATTGTTAAATGAACAAATTAATACAAAGCATTAAGAGAGTAACTCTAGGGAGGATTAATTACGTTTTTGGTGCTGAGCAATGAATGTGGTACACAGTCACGGTTCACAGAGGTTCACGGTCAATCTCCTAGTTAATGGATTTGTTTCATTGGAATAGGAGATACCCGAAGGCAGGTACAGTAATTTCATTCTAAATAGACTTTGAAACCTGGTAACCTTGAATAAGAGGAAGTAATTCAGAAAAAGATCCAAGTCCTACTGTTTAATGCGTTCTGTAGTTTAGCTTGTCCGTGAGCACTTTCTGCTAAATACAGCCCATTAAAGTTTTAAACAATCTAGTCTGCAAGCTGATGTTTTCATTACAATAAAATCTTGCACTGTTTAAAACCTGAATCCAGCTCTGTAGTGGGTAATAATCCCTCCTGGGTGCTATCAGATATTAGTGGAATTTTACATTCTTTTAAAAGTCTTTGAAATGCTGCTTTTAAAACACTGGGCTCCTCTCCCAGACTCTTTTACCATTCTTGAATAAAGATTGTTGATTTCTTTTATGTATCCTTGATGTCATTCCCATGGCATAGAAACATATTATTAGTCGGAGAAAGATTTTCATAATCACATTGGACAGGATCTGCTCCAGATTTTGAATTACTACTGTACATGTGCACTCATTGTCCAAAGAAATAGGAACCTCTGAGTAACACGCTTGATTAGGCTGGCAGCACTACACGGGGTTCGGACGTGTTCCCAGCCCAATGCCATCGCTTTCTAGCAGCATGATATTCCACTGAGGTTGTGATGGAGGTCGAACTGTCCCTCTCTCTCCGCTGGATCCCAGGAGTTTAGGACCTTCTTCCTACCAGGGAAGGTGATGGAAGCCTGTCTCAAGCTCTTCGTGCCAGTCGTGCATTGCCTGTCAATACTCGAGAGAGTCTTTTTGTTTGATTAGGTGAACCCTAATATTGTGGCCAGAAAGCACATATTTTCTCTTTCAAACAAGACATCAAGTGGTATTTTATGGGGCCGCCAGCATTTAAGCCTTTTGAAGGCAGTGCTGCAACTTCCGTTGTTGATTTTACCATGAAAAATATCCTTGCCATATCTGTGACTTATATAAAGACAAAATGTTTGTTAGTGGTTTCTTTAAGTCTCTCCCCCTAGATCTTATCTGTAAGACTACAAAAAAACATCTCATGGCTGGAAAAGTGACCTCAAAGAGCCTAGTTTTAAGAGAGCAAGTCCCATGTAGTTTATATTCCTTGAGGCATTTCTAGGTTACTTGATGGAAAACTCATGTGTTCCCATTTGTAGGAAAACTGAGCAGCATCCAAACCAGTGTGCTCCCCAAATAAAAGCTTTAATGAAGGCAAATGCAGACCCAGTGTATTCTTGGGGTTTCATCCCATTCTCTCTTGTGGTCTTGATGTTAGATTGTGGGGTGATGGCATGAACAGTCTGTTTTGCAGCGATTCCCTTGCCTATGCTTGTGTTAAATGTAATGACTTCCTGCTCTCTTCCTTGCAGAGAGTGGTTTTTCCTGCTGTCCCATGAGGTGCTGAACCCCATGTATTGTCTGTTCGAGTATGCGGGCAAAAACAACTACTGCCTGCAGATCAACCCTGCCTCCTCCATCAACCCCGACCACCTCACCTACTTCCGGTTCATCGGCCGTTTCATCGCAATGGTAGGGGACACCGGCAGCTGCTGACCACCTCCCCAGTTCTCACAAGACTCTGAATCAATGTCCAGTGTTTGCTTCAAAAGCTTTGCCGAGTCATTTCTGTGCTTCTTGATATGTTTTAGTTCTCCGTTTTTATGCATTTGTTCTCTGCTTTATTGCGGTAGAGTTTAATAGATCTGGTAATTATTCTGGTACTGCAAAAATCTCTGAAAGGTCGCATCATACTGTGTTTGTCAGCACTTATTTGTGAAATTCTTGGCGTTGCCATAGACTACCACAGAAAAATGCAGCCAAGGCCGAAGTAATATTTTGAAAATTATTATGTCAAAAGAAAGATGAGTAGGCATAAAATGTTGACAGAAATCTCTGTAATATTCTTTTTACATTCATCAGCTTTTTTAAGCTTCCCCATTTTAAGCCTCAACATCTGTGTACTGCTACGAGCAGATGTGTATTGTGTCCTACCATGTACGTCCTACCTGTTCTCTATCACGGTAACATGTTCCCCACATCCTTATTTGTCGTGATGCCATTGTTTGTGTTGGCTTGCTATCATTATAAGTACTCTATAGACTGTATGGTTCCTCTTCAGAAACTTGCTATGTCTTCATGCAGTCCTGCTACACGCTGTGAGTGGACAACACGGACAGTAGAGTTAGACATTTAATGGTACACTGACGCGGCTCTCACTGATACAGCACTGTGGACTGGCTAGTCACAGGGACAAATATTGCATAGCATGCTGAAAATTCACCCTGTTGAAACTTAACCCATAACAAAGACAGCTTGGGGATTGTCAAACAGAGTCAGCTAATGACATACTCTGGGCACCAACCAAATTCTCTGAGCTTTAGGGTCTTTTACCTGAAGTGTGAGTATTTTGTCCTTTCTTCCACCTTTTGACTGCTAATATTGACACATATGGTGTCGCAGACTTCAGCACTTCAGTCTCCTAAACCTTTTTTTACATTCAAAGTCCACATTTTTTGTTTGCTTTTCATGTCTCAGCACATGGCTACGAACCTTGTGACTGCACAAGGGAGAAAGAGGAGGTCTAGGCTGAGTCCTTCTACCCGACCACCTTCAAACCAGTTGTTTTTTAACTTGTCACAGGCAGTTCAGCCCCGTGCCGGAGGCTCAGAGCTGATTGTTGGACAAGCAGCTCCAGAATTCAATTCAGTTTATTTTTCTATAGTGCCTTTCACAACCAGGTTGCCCCAGGGCACTTAACAATACAATTGACGATTCTACGGAGTTGATGAGAGCCAAAGAGCTCTGTCTGCTGTCCTCTCTGGTTCTCAGTCAATTGTGTACCATCACAGCAGGCTGGATACATGACCTGAAGTCGAACCCGTGACTGTAGAGCTCAACCTGCTCTTGGGTGAGCGCCTTTACCAGTTGAGACACTCAAGAGCCCAATTTAAAAAGCTTTTAACTTGGCACATATCAAACTGAGGAAAGAGCCCCTTTAGTTATACAAACCCTCCTTGTGGCTTTTTGTTCTCATTTGCTATAATTAAGGCAGAATTCTTCCAAGTACTTCAGTTTCTCTCCATCACTGGGTAGTTTGACATGAATGCTGAGGCACTGACTAAGTGGGTATACTGTTTTCAGCACTGAAAAATGAGAATTTGGCAATATAATGTTTCAAATATAATTGGTAAGAAAGCCAAAAAAGTATTACATTAGTTGTGCCTTTATAAAAATCCTTAGCAAATTTAATAGCATAAAGCACAGTGACCCAGGGTTTTGGTGACTTTACAGAGGCATCCTGATTAATGTAAGGATCTGTTACTTTATACTTTCATACTTTATACTTTCTTTTGTGGCTCCATGGTTTACTGTGAAAGAACAGTTTTGAATGAGCAGCATCTAGTTATTCAGAGAGATACTCGTTACATACAGCCCATGAAACAGTTCCATTTTCTTTTGCAGATTAATTCAGTCTGATCCCAGTCTGTGTCTGAAACATTACATCATTTTTCCTGTTTTATGTGGTTTTGCTAAGTTTAGATCAGCAAGTCACAGAGAAGTCAGTTGCAGTATAAGTACTAAGTGTCTGTATTGTAAGAGAGAGCCAGGAGTTTGAAGAAGTTTGAGTCTTTGCCTTGGAGACATTCAATGTAGGAACTTCATTTTGATATGAAGTTTTCAGATTTAACAATCATTCAGATTGTCCCAGTATTTAAGTGTTATTGAGGCAAAAATCAGCAGGTTCTACAGAATATTTTTGGAGGTGTTGCATATTTTAATTTCTAATAAGAAATGTCACTAAGGAGTAGATGTCTTTCGGCTTATCTTGCAGTGTAAATCACATCTGCTTCTAATTCACAAGCTAGTTTGTAGACTGTCTAGATACAGTATGTGATACTTTGCTTGTGCGTCATTAGCTAATTTGTCATTTGAAAGATTTCTCAAAGGTATAGGCTAAGGTCTCCTCATGTGGTTTGAGCGTGAGAATCACAAAATGAAAAGGCTGTTTTGGCTGAGCTAACTGAATAAAATTACTGTATAATTCAAACACAGTGGCACCCTTCACATGATGGATTAGCTCAAAATAAATCACACAAAATCTGATTCCTATCCACATGTAGCTTTTTATAAATGACACTCATAAAGGAAAGTGTGTCCCACTGCTTTCCAACCTTTAAAACGTACAAAAAAGTGAAACGCTTCAAAAGCACAGGCACCTAACTCGAGCTGTATATATATATATGTTTGTTTAAGAAAGCTCATGTCCTATTAGTTTCTGCTATACTGGTGTTTATTTGGTCTCTTAAGTTTACAATTACCTGTGGTGCTTTACTGTAATGTTTTTCATTCTAATGATAAACACCACTGTAATTCAGTTTACAGAGCAGGGCTGATTCTTTTTCTTTGCTTGTTTCTTATGACCATAATGCGTGTATTTTTAAAGCCATATTTGTAAGATTACATGCATTGTGTTTCAGTTTGCACAAGTCATTATTTTGAATCAGGTGGTTTTGACAATTATGATTGATACCTGCACTGGCTAAAATATGCACACTGCCCAAGTCAAGTGATTCTGCTCTGCATGGTTGACGTAGGAAGCAGAAGACAGACTTCCAACAATGTCAGTACCACATCCCATGATTCTCCTTACAGCCCCAAGCTGAAGGAGATCCTGCTACCAGAACTGGGCTGCAAAGAATTCAAACCCTTGTGGAATAGAAGCAATGTCCTTTTCATGCTGTTCGTGCTGCTCACACAGGCCAATGAGTTAAACGGCTTCTGGCAGAACAGCTGGTGATTACACTGGCAAGAAGAAAAGGCATTATATTTAAAATGAACTATAGAAAGAAAACAAATTTCATCTTGGTCAAGCATGCATTCCCTTTAAAGCAAGGACTCAAGACTTCCTTTGCTGTGTGGGCGATCTCTGTGTTTTTCTTTTCTCCTGTCTCCAAATATATGGAGACAAGGGAATGTTACCAAATGGAAAATGTAAGAATCTGGTCAATGGATTGAGTTCCTGAAGAATCCCCCAACCTCCTCCTCCCTCTGCTACCCTAACCCAGATTTCTCTGGGAAAATGTGCACAAGCTGGCCCAAAAAACAACACCCAATCCACAAGAGACGAAGCATGAAGTCACCACCACACCCAGCCCTAAGCATCCAATGGGAGCTATATATAGAGAGGGCTCAAATGCTTCACACATCCCCTTATAAAGATACGTCTGTTTCTTCTCGCTCGCTGTCCCTCCCAGACACTTGTCGTTGCGCAGTGGGTATTTGCCGACCCCACCCTGCATCAAGACGTAATCCGCAATGAAAGAGCAGACTGTTAGTCACTCCCAGGCCCGTCTGTATTGTTCTTGGACACCTTGCGGCGGGGACCGTGTGAAGCCATTATCGCATTTTCAAAAACAGTCTGGTTTTCATCCTGCCGGCGGCGCGGGCCCGGTCTCGCAGCTGGCTCTCGGCAAGGGAGGCCGCGGGTCGGGCCTGGGGAATCCGCCGCTCGTCTGAAGTCAGATGACAATCGCTAGATTACAGCCTGTGCCCGCGTCACGTGACCGCTTTCTGGTCTCCGATTTGGGCCGGGGGCCCGAAAGGAATGCAGAGGGGAACGCGGTGAGGGTGAGCGAGTTCTCATCTGTCCAGGTCACTCCCAGAGTTCTGCTTCACTGTGCACAGGAAACCCAGCTGCCCAAACTGCTTATCCTAGAGATCTGTTAAAATAAGTGAGTGAATCGGATTCCATTCTTTGAAAGAGGACAAGGAAAAGGCACACATGGTCTCAAACTGCAAAGATTAAATACATGCTTTCCTTTCCATGGGACGTTTACTAGAATAAATGGTGCTGTGCTACATTGCCAAAGCACTACAGCATTTTCACAAATCTAAGAAGGAGATATTTCGCATTCTATTAGGATAAGTATCTCACCAATGGCCCTAGCAGGAAGATGTAAAACTTTTGTTTTTTTTTTCATTAAGATTTGCAAACATTGATAGCCGGCTTCTTCAGAGAAGGAAATATTATGTGCCAAAAGCTCAATAATTGACAGATCTTGTGGCTTTCTTATAAATTTGTAAGCTGATTCGTCTTTTGCATTTTCCCTTTCATTTTGTTTCTTAACTTCGGGCTTCCTATTTTGCCTACTTCCCTATTTTGTTGTGTGATTTATTTTAAGACCAGTAATAGTATCTCAAACCAAATGGAAAACCCAAAGCATTGTTATAGAGAAGTGCAGAACCATGTTAAAATGAGCAGATGTGAGGAAAAAGATAACGTGCGTGACACAAGCACAAAGCACAAAGCAGGCAGAGCAGTATCTTGGGGAAATGGTGATAAACAGGCTATTAACCTGGTTGTTGTGTGGGTGTTAACTAATGTGTGCTTGGTATCCATTCTCTGCAGGCACTGTATCATGGCAAATTCATCGACACAGGCTTTACTCTGCCCTTCTACAAGCGCATGCTAAATAAAAAGCCCACCCTGAAGGACCTGGAGTCTATTGACCCCGAGTTCCACAACTCCATCATGTGGGTGAAGTAAGTATTCTTTTCTTCCAAATACCAAACAGTTGGTCAAGGACTCTGTTCAATGTATTAATGGTTGCAGCGGTCAGATCATTTTAATCAAGTGAAATAATTTTCTTTTTGCTCACCTTCCACTCTGCTTACCAGAAGCGTTCAAGCAGTCCAGGCTTGCTATTCAGATTGATTGAAGGAACAAGTCAATAGTGATCAGTGATATCACTGCGAGTGTGTGTGTGGAGCACCAGTGATCAGTAACGTCACTGTGAGTGTGTGAGAAGCTGCAGTGATCAGTGGCATCGCTGTGAGTGTGTGAGAAGCTGGAGTGATCATTGATGTCCATGTGTGTCTTCCCAGGGAGAACAATCTGGAGGAATGTGGAGTAGAGCTGTACTTTGCTCAGGACATGGAGATTCTGGGAAAGGTGTCAACTCACGAGTTGAAGACTGATGGCGAAAATGAGCTTGTGACAGAAGACAACAAGGAAGAGTATATTAGGTAAGAAAAATGGGCATGGGCGCCATAGGTCAACCTTAAAATTACAGAATTCAGTAATACACTGGCTTCCTGTGCACTGACTCTGTATAAAGTGACTCTTAAAAGGAAAAAAATAGGTGTGCGATTTAAAAGGTTGAATGTTTTTAATTGGTGTGGATTCTACAGTTCCATATTCCATGAAAGTACCTCCTGCTGGTTCCCTGAACCCAATTAAAGGCTAAACAAGGCCTTCGCAGTTCCATTACAAAATGAGATAATTATGATGATAATTCAATGAAGAATTTGACAGAGTTGAAGAGTCTGTCTGATATTAATGGCATGGATTATGAAGGGAAATCCCCTGCCCTCTCATCGTAGTGGAGCCTGACCGCAGCGTACGAGTGATTTAAGATGGGCTTGTAACAGATGCTAACTCCCATGATGTGCAGACGTGGGCCGATTGCAAGGGGAGATGGCAGTGTGTGCAGATGGCAAAGCCTGTGCTCTTCCCCGCAGGCTGCTGACAGACTGGCGCTTCACCAGAGGGGTAGAGGAGCAGACCAAGGCCTTCCTGGATGGCTTCAATGAGGTGGTGCCCCTGGAGTGGCTCCGATACTTTGACGAGAAGGAACTCGAGGTGAGAGGGGATTTCAGAGGAGGTGCTGTTAAAGGTGGTCTCTTGGAGGAGATTCAATCCATTGTTTTTGGTGTTTTTTATCACCTTGTTTTATGTATATTTCAATGTTTATGCAAAAAGAAAAAAAGGTTAACAAGTACGAACTCCTCTCCTATGGAATGGTGCAGGCCCCCTTTTCTTAGTGCTGTCGTGTCTCGCCAAACGCCCCTCGACTGGAGCAGGAGTTCTTGTGATTGGACTGTGGCTCAAATCCTCAAAAGACTGGGGGTTAAAGAAAGCCTGTAATTATACCAAAACCTAAAAGCTGTGCGCTCTGGGAGCCATGCAAACAACAAACAGCCCGTGAGATAATTAAACACATCAGCAAAAGAACAGAGCATAAGATGTCTGGGAAAAAAAGCTCTATTGCCTAGCAAAGCACACATGTGCTGGAGGAGGTATCTGGATCTCTGTGTACTCTGTTCTTTTTTCCGATACCAAGTTTCAACTTGTGATACTTTCAGTGCTGCTGTGTAGATGCACAAGAAAAGATCTCAGCTCCACTCCACAGTAATGAGCAAAAACAATTCATCTGCAGATTGACAGAGCTGCCTTGTACCAGAAACGTCTAGTTTTCCTCATCACGTCAATTCTTGCAAATTGGAACATACTCCACATTCATTTTAAAGTCCTTTGAAAGCATACTGTCACCAGTGCTTCTTTTATAACTGATTAAATAACCTTTATGTAATTAAATTGGCATTTCCTTATATAAAGCCTAGGAACCTCATTTATAGTATTATATATCAATAGTTATGCACTTAAACAGTTAGACTGAGAGCTCAGACCCCTAATTTAACTGAAAAATGACAGAAAGGGTATAATTCTTTACATGATGTTGCCTTTTACCTGAGAGACAGTTTTTTTTCCCTAACATTAAGGATGTTTCTTCTCTAAGTGTAGAAGCACAGTTTAAGAAATTTGGCTTTGTTGCCCTTTTAACTTTTGTGAGTTGGAAATAACTTTTTTTTGTAGGCTTTTGCCCACAATTCCCTGAATGCATGGAACCCAGAGATTTTCATGACTTGCTTTTTTCCTGTTGAAAGTTTTCTGGGGCTGATGATAATGCATTCAGACTGAAGCATGTTTAAGTTCAATGGCGTCAGCCTCCGATTCTGAAAGGAGTAATAGAATCTGCTAAACAATCTATGCCATTTGAGGTTGGGATTCTGCTGTTCTTTTGCGGGCAATAGTCCCATATCCTGGCAAGATGTTTCTTCAAATGTGATGAATTTGCCACTTGAATGGCCGCACAACAAAGTGCTGTGAAATTAGTATAAACATGAAAGCCAAACTTCTACTGTTCAGTATTAGACATTGTTTGAATTGTGAAAAAGCATAGCTGCTTTTAGACTTGGTAGATTAAAATCCAAAATGCATGTTATCCTGCTAGAAGCAGATCATCGCTTGATAGAGACGAGCTGGTCCAAGTGGTACAAGCCTTGTTACGAGTATGCTGCCAGATCTAGCCCTTCCTCGACCACTGACTCACCGAGGATATCCAGCTTAAATCAAATGAGTGAATTCTATCCTTACCAAGACAGCCCATAATAAGGATTTGGATTGCTGGTTTAATCGATGAGAAAGCTTTCTGCACATGAAAGCTTAATGATAGGGTTCATTCTGCTGTGCTCCAGAACTTGACTACATTTCACTTGGGTTTTGAAGTTGGCGGAACCGTGACATTCCTGTGTGAATAGAAGAACTAATCAAAAATCTCCCGTCAGAGAGGTACCCCGCGCCTCTTGTCCACAACACATGGTCTTTTGTTTTTATTTTCAAGCGTTACAAAAAGTTTCTGATGTGAGGTGTGCTGTCTAGGGCACTGACAGTTCTTTCCACAAGAGTGAATAGTCTAAAACTGCTTTGATGTTTTTGTTCTTAATTGCCTGGACCTGAAAGCACTTTGTCTCTGTGTTTGTCTCTGCAGCTGATGCTCTGTGGGATGCAGGAGATTGACCTGACTGACTGGCAGAAGAACACCATATACCGACATTATACCAAAAACAGCAAGCAGATCCAGTGGTTTTGGCAGGTGAGACTGTGTTCTTAGTGTCTGATTCTTTTAACCCAGACAGGACACACATCAATACCACCTAATCTGAAAAGAATTTACAAATGGCTAGATCAACGGGTTTAGAGTTAAGGAGCACTTTGGAATTGACAAGAACTTTCACAGGCATGGAGGACCAAGCTGATGGAAAGCATGTCTTGGCCATGATGTTGATATGATAGGGCTGTGATTGTATAAACCACGTAAAGTTCAAATCCATGTGAAACAGAGCAGTCCAGGTATCTGATAACACCAGGCTCGCATGATTTCTGCCTTGGAAAAAGGGATCAATTGTACAGATCTTGACAAAATTGCATCCTTTGAGATTTATTCTGTTGAGTCATTTAACTTTGCAAGTACATCGGGACAGAGTTTGCATAAAAAAGGTATGCTAATAATTACATGATTTAGTACTGTGGTTGTAGAAAATATTATATATCTCTACATGTTGTTACAGCTGTTCAAGTAATGCGGCTGTATTTTGTTCTCATCTTTGTTCACATGACAGCTATGCTTGTCATTCACCGGACTTATTTTAGATAATTTTGCAAGTGAAACTGTACATGGACGCGACTCACCCATTTCCTGCAGTAGTTTTTTTTTTGCATTTTTGTGTACTCACTGGATTTGAAAGTGCCATTTGTTTCATTGATTTGACTCACAGCAACAGACATAGTGCTGCACAGGGAGTGTTTGAGGGCAGACATGCTCATTCAAGCCACTCACGAAAACATGCTGCAAGTCCCGTAGTGCCTTACAGGACATTTAGCAATGATTGAAGCCCGCAGGCACTTCTTAAGTCACTGCAGTCAGTAATTCACTAAGAGAAAGGGCCGATGCCCAGTGCTAGTTCCATTGGCACAGATCTCTTGTTGAGTGAGCAGGTGGGCTGGTTGACCTCTTGCTTATCTCTTTTAAGATATAAGTTCATATTGGATGATCTTTTAGGGGATCTTTGATTAATAGTAATTGGCGGCTGATATATTGAGGTTCTCCCTTCCTACCCATTCAGACTGTCAGTGATGTCTTAGTGATGGGCCGTGTGTAGATGCCTTAAGAGCTCGAGACGTCCATCACCTTCCCTGACCAGAGCAATCTTCAGATCTCAGTCCTGTGGAACGGACTCACTGCCTGCCACAGAAGGCCGTCCCACTGGTTGAATAGGAAGAGATTAGGGCCTTCAAAATCCTTGTGAAATACTTGACATATCCAGCCTCTGCTGTTCTTGCTGCGCAGAGAGGTTTAACTTTAATCTTTGGGGGTGGGGTGGGTTCCTAATATTTTGGCCAGTGAGTGTGAGCAGTGATCAGAGTCAGGCGTATTCCCCCCCAGCCTTTTCAGCCCAGAAGCTGACACAAGTTCCCTTGGCACGGGTCTCGTGCTGACTGAACTCGGTGATTAGTGGTCATGGGTGTTTACTGCAGCCGTTCTGTCAGAGTACGGGCAAACGATAAAGAAATGTGATCCAAAAATAGCAGAAAGTAATGCTTGAGGTTGCATTACAAATATTCCAGTAAATAAACAATCAACATCTGTCATTATATTGGCAATCATTGCCTCTCTTTCTGCCCACATCTGTTTTAAATCACAGTGTCACTCACTGAAATTAAGAAAGCTGTCTTTGAGAATTTTGCAAACTAATGGTCTGTTTTTTTTAGAGAAACAGTGCTTTTCTTGATGTATCCATTAGCAGAGTTTCAATTTCTGTTATTAAATATTTTTGGCCTAGAGTATATGCCTATACAGCAGGCTAACAGCTACAAAATCCTAAGATCAGTAACTGACTTTTGGCAAAAGGGCGCTAATTAATGTACTTTGAATGTAAGAAATGAAAACATCTATTTCCTCCATTAAATGAAGTTCTGTAACCTCAGAAATAAAATATCTGGTAGTCCAAGGCAAGTCTGAAAGGAATGTGAATTTTGAGACTGAGGATCTTTTCACAAATTAGAAAAATTGAGCTATAGCTTCATAATTTCTAATTTCCTCTTTTCTTATAATGTCAGTCACAAAATGGCAAAAGTTTTTTTTTCAAGTTGTTTTTTTCCCCAGACGTTCATTACATAAAACAGGAATGGGGCAGCTCCTGGCCTCAGCTGGCCTAAGCCGTTGCTGACATATACATTTTTTAGTTAGCGTGGACCTGAATTGATTAATTAAATTATCCCTTATAATTAAATGTCAAAGTCCAGTCATAAAACCTCTGTTAGTAGAGCAGTAAATACACTAAATAATAGCAAACACAGGCTTTGAATCCAGGCTATGCCTCTGTGTGATGAACTGACCCAAAAGATCACAGGTTCCAATCCAGACTGTGCCTCTCTGTGTCAGCCTAGTAATCATGGGTTGCAGTCCAGGGCCTCTGTGTCATTCCTGAGGTAATAGGTTCTAGTCCAGACTGTGCCTTTTGCCAGCTCTGTCTGAGACCTCTGCTGGTGGAAGTAAATTGTTGCCTGAGAGCAACAATTCCTGGCTTAGTCCAAAATTTCTTAAAAATGTATCATTCATGGGCTTGGCACGCAGGAAACGTGTTTATTACAGAACGTCTAGATTAAGTTTTTCAAACTCCAATTATATAAATCTAATTGAGAGCTTGACATATAGCGCAGCATTTCTTGGATGTGTGTTTAGAATTACCATCAATCAAAATGGGTGGCACAGCGGCGCAGTGGTTGACATGACTGCCTCGCAGTGCTGGGGCCCCGGGTTCAAGTCCAGGCCTGGGGTGCTGTCTGTGTGGAGGTTGTAGGTTCATCCTGTGTTTGTTTTCTCCGGGTGGTCTGGTTTCCTCCCACAGTCTAAGACGTACGGGTAGGTTAAGTGGCTTCTGGAGAAAAAAAAAAGAAATCTGGTGTGTGCATGTCTGTGTGTCTGCCCTGCAATGGATTGGCATCCCATCCAGGGTATATCCTGCCTTGCACCTGTTGCCTGCTGGGATAGGCTCCAGCTCTCCCACAACCCAACAACCCTGTATTGGATAAAGCAGTTAGAAAAAAGATGGATCACTCATTATTTAGTTTAATTTATCGATACTCATGTTTAGAGCTACTTCTAATCAATATTTTACGTATATGGACATTTCCAAGATTGCCAGTCAGCAGTGATGTGAATGCTTTTGAAGAACATTAAGTAGAACTAGAGTAGGAATGGTGTGTTCTAAGAGATGTACAGGTGCTGTTTGTTCTCAGACATATGATCTACAGGTACGGTTGCAAAACGTGGGAGTGAAAAGAGGAGCATAGAGCTCGACTCCTCTTGTGCCTCTGGAGCACATGTTGTCTTTGGCTTGTTCCTACTGTGTGGCATTGCAGCAATACATTGGGTTGAGTCACAACTGCGGTTTCCCATAGCAAGACTTAAAAGTGAAAAGATTATTATAGATTCAGAATACATTAAAACATCTTCAAATCCTTCTAAAAAACCACATGGCACATAAATTATTTGAAAGAGTTCAGTGTTTGTTACATTAATTCTTGAAGCAGCTGTTAAACAGACTTCTATTCCATTTGCTGATACTGGCTCAGGGTATGTACACACGATAGTTGTTGTGTCTCTGCCAATTTGCAGCTGTGTTTTAAAATCGCAGTTAATCATATTATTGTTAATGGAGCCTAAAAGAGCTTTTTAATCCTTTCAATGCAAAAACTGTATAATCTAATTGAGAATAACAGCCAGAACGCAGCAATTTACACTGCAGGAACAAAGGGATTTTTTTGGTTTAGGAATTTGAGAAGGTGCATGGTTTACTCAAAAGGCAGCCACTGGGCTTTAAACCCAATAAGACTGTTGAATTGTGGTTACCTCCATGTTAGCCACATTCGGTGTGCTGTTTTATGTCATTCTGTGTGGTTGCAAAAAACTTCTAACTCTTACTTAAAATTGAATGTTATTTAATAGGCAGTGCTTGACTTTGTCCTTCACAATTTCTGATGTTGCAGACATAAAGAAGAGAGTTTTATTTTTGCTCACAGTATTTCAGAATTCAATGAGTTACAGATATCTCTTAAAATATCTCAAGACCCTGCATTACCAAGATGCTGCCAGTTAGCAGTTCCCAGAACTTAGTGTGGGACTTTCCATTTGCAGTGGGGATTTATGCCTTGTGAATTTTCTGTTAGATCACATTTCTAAATATAAACACTCATCATTTTGTAAGAAATCATTATAAATACTCATAAAGATAAAAAATGGGTTTGCATGAAACTATTCACTTAAGCATGCTTAATATTGGATAAATTTCTGCATACACCAGCGAGGTGCTGTAAAAGAAGCACTGATCTACTCTTAGCCCCATGTTCCACAGGTTACTGCTCTGAGCAGGTCCTCTGTCTCTTCCTCAGGTTGTCAAGGAGATGGACAATGAAAAGAGGATCCGCCTGCTGCAGTTTGTCACTGGAACCTGTCGACTTCCTGTGGGGGGCTTCTCGGAGCTCATTGGTAAGACCGAAAGACCTCCACGCAGAACACAGAGTGGGCCCTACAGTCCAGAAATTGCCATGTGCAAATCTGTGCTGTGTCATTCTGCGCCCATGACTGCAGTTAGGAAATGGGGCTTTTGGGACTGTCTGAAATACGTCTTCTGGTCTCCCAAATGGATCTGGGTTAGTTCATAAGATATGAGCATTGATTCTGGGAAATGTTCCTTTGAATATTATTCCGCTGTAAGGCCACAAAATGAAGCAAAATGAAGGTTCAAAATGGCAGTTGTGGCTTATTTAATGCTCCCTTTTAGAGGCTGTCAGGAAGATTGATAATGTCTTAGAAAGCATTTTCTTCCAAAAGCCTGGATTTGAAAGAGCAGTTAAACGGCAGGAAAACCCCTTTCATATGAAAGAGAGCAGAAAGTTGGTGATAGTCTTGCAGGCCTGCTGTTGAGATTAATTGGGAAAACATAAGGGGTGATAGATTCTTCTGAAACTGCACACCAAAACACATGGCCCTATGTTTTACCGCCTTAAAAACTAGGCACGAAAATGCCTCTGACCCTGATAAAGTTAAAATCCAAAGGCCTACAATCTCCAAAAAATATAATTACAGTGCGTGGAGATTGAGATGTATGATGTAGCACTCCAGCTCCACAGCGGTCCTGGCATGAGACTATTGAGCATGGCTGTATGATCCATTTCAGGTTTTATGAGCTTCTGGCTGCTGGGCAAATTTACTTGAAGGGTGGAAGAGAAGATTAAATTGCTTAATAAATGTTGTTTCAATGCCATGCATGTCTATGTCGAAAATAGCATTGCCTCTTTTCCTTTTCATTCATTTAAAATAAAACAAATGATGTTAAAGATGTTTGTGAACATTTTCTACATAATCCCAGAACATACTGCTGCAAATACATAGCAAGGTCAGTACAGGAATACAGGTAATCTTCAAAAGTTCATATTTCAGGTGGTTTCCCAGACTCTGTTTAGCATTAGTAACTTGGCTAGCTTGCCTAAAGTAACCCCAGGTAGTACAAGATTTTTCTGGTGTGGCATTTCTGTCAACATCCAGAGTAAAGTAGCAACATATTTACCAGAACTTAGACGTGTTCCATTCTTCAGGTGTGACGTGACATGTAACTGATGGTACACGGCCTGTTGATGAAAATAAACAGGACTTCCCTTGTCACTGTGCAGTATTGCTAATCATGACCAGTGAGGTTAATCCTGTCTCTGCACTGTGTGTGGTGTGGTAAAATCCAGACTGAGGGCAGGAAGGGAAACAAAAGAAAATCAGACGAGGTTTTGTTTGGAAGTGCTACACAGGAAGCACCTTGAGGCACACAGGGCCATGCGGCTGCTACCCCAGCCCTCTGTCAAGCTGGCATTGCATGTACCCAGCAGGCAGTGCACTAAGCTGCTGTATCCTGCTTGGCTTTGCACAGCAGAGGACTCTTATGTTGGCTGCAGGGCGTCAGGCAGATTCCTAGTGCTCCCCTGTCTTGTCCACAGTGTTGGTCTATGGATTTTCAGGCATCTGACCAGGGCACACATTTGCTCCTGTGCTCTTAACTGTTCATGGTTTTGACATCAGGCCCAGCATGTTTTTTCCCCCCTGCAGACATATCGGAGCAGCAAGAACAGTTCAGTCTTTTGAGTCTGGTTCCAGTGTTCCTTAGCTGACCGATTGTCCATGCCTAGTGCCCTGTGTTTACTGTGGCATTGCATAGCCCTGCTGGTCATGAAAGAAAGGCATCGGAGCTCTCCTGCTATTATCTGTATTTCAAAACTCATGTGACTGCCTCAGCTCAGGAAACCTATGGCTAAAATTTTCTGCCATGGTAAAAAAAGACCTTGATATCCTGCTCAGTCAGCACTTGAGAAGTGAGGTGCAGAATCAGTCCTCTGGCCGAGAACAGGCCCGATTCTGTTGTGTCACAGGTAAGTGGTTCTACATGGCCGCTGACAAACATTAGCAAAGCCCCTTTATTGGGGATTCCCAAAATAACTCCAAAGGCCGTAGTGCTGGGTAAATCATTACTTGGCTGCTGGGGCATAAAAGAGGTTTTTACTCTTTTTATGCAGGATATATGCATTTTTATGTTTCATGCTTCTCTGAGCAGCAATTAGTACATTTCCCCCCAATTTCAATTTATTATAGCTGTGGCCTGAAACTGGAAAAGTATCTGAACACCCTCTTGTCATTCCTTTCTCTCACTTCAGTATTCTCTGTGGTACCTCAAGCAATTGAGTCTTTCTTACTAGAAAATCCCTGCTATTGGAGGTTGGCTAAAAAGCTTTAGACATGGGAGCACTGGAACAAGTAGTTGCAGTGGAATAGAGGGGTTGCCTACACATGACCCAGATTCCACATTTTCATTTCTGGGATTTCATAGGCATGATCAGTCATGATACTCAGGTCACACTGGCACCAATAACAAAAATTGTAACTTCTGTCAGTGATTCACAAAGTGATGCAGTTGGATTGCCGATTGTATAATGCAGTGGTAATCTGTGCCATCAACAGGAAGTAATGGACCCCAGAAGTTCTGTATTGACAAAGTGGGCAAAGAGACCTGGTTACCAAGAAGCCACACATGGTGAGTATTGATTTCTTTGCTTTGAAGCAACCATATTCACATTGTCCATTGCACAGAGGAATTTATTTCCTAATGCTTGCATTTTCTGAAGAGCTAGCAAAAAAATGCAGTCCTGATTCGGTTCCTGAGTGTTAGTGGTTGAAGCTTTCATTGTGCGAATGTCCTATGGACCAGAGTTCTGTGCTTTTTTTATCTGAGCTCTCCCCTGTACCCTGTGTGGCTATAAGTGACGCAGCATTCAGCTGGCCTGGGCACTGATGGGTTTTAATCAGCTCGCAACCTGACATCAAGCCCTGTGGCTGGCTGGTGAGCTTTTGCACCACTTGTTAATTCACTCTCCAGCTGATGTTTTGTGTGCACTGCAGGCCCACAGTGTGAAACACATCCAGATAGCCTGCCAGTACACATTTCTGTCAGGGTCAGAACACACCGTTCTCACTTCTCTATAATAAATGCTTGAAGAGGTGGGCCGAGGTAATCAACAATAGACACCCTGAGATATAGAGTTGCTCAAAAACATTATTATTAAAAGTTATTTAAAAATTAAGTAGCACTTCCCTCACCTTAACCCTCTCTCAAAAGGACATTACAAATGTTTGCCATCAAGTCTTATAGCTATGTAGGTATTAATATCGCATTCACTGCATTTTGCAACTGAATTCCAGAAAGGGTGGTGGCTTTCAGTCCTTTAATTGCATGGTGGGTGAAGGATTTGACCACTTCCTTTAGTGAAATGCAGGATATCTTATGACCACAGTCGCAGAAAAGAGGAAATAATGTATCCATGGTTTCCATCAAAAGTGGTTGTCCCACAGAAGGAAGCACAGTAGCTTTACCACACAGTCGACCTCTGTGCACAGTACCCAAGTGCTCAAAAACTGCCCTTCCAGTATAGTAGTGAGCTCTTTGGTTTGTTTGTTCTTATTAACTGTGCTTTCATGTAGCAGACTAAGACCCATTACCATCTAAAGGGAAGAAAGTGTGCAAGCTCCATGCAAACAAGCACCTTATGTTGGAAACAAACCCAGGACCGTGGGGCTGTGAGGCAGCAATGGTGACCCATTGCTCTTGGTGTGGGCTCAGAGAAGCTTGCATGATGATAGCTTCATCTGGGGCATTCATCTCAAACCCTAAAGCTGAAATCTAGCAAAACCCTTTTGTTTTTCTTTCAGCTTTAATCGCCTGGATCTGCCTCCCTACAAGAGCTTCGAGCAGCTGAAGGAGAAGCTGCTGTTTGCCATTGAGGAGACTGAGGGCTTCGGGCAGGAGTGAGCAGGAGATGACACAGAAGCCTGCAGGAGGAGTGGTTTCACCACAGCCCCTGTTCTGCGGGGATGGATGGTATTCCGGGGCCATGGAATGACACCATATTAATGATCAATGCACCAAGCAGCAACCCACAGCCTAAAGATACCAGAGATCCACAGCTGTTGGTCCAACACTGTAATCCCTGACCAAACTGAGTTGTTGTTAAGCAAATCTAAAGACGGAGCTGAATCTGTTCATTATTTTTTTAAATCGGTGATAATTATATTTCATACCCTTCAGTGCTATCAAAAGACATATGCTGCTCTGTAAATAGGGAGCTTGTGTCTCTTTTTCCATTGCCTTCTTGCCAGTTCACATGAAATGCACTGCACTCTAATGAGGATTTTTGGAGATTCTGTGCCAAGGATAGCCCCCCTTGGCCGTGCCATTTCCCTTTAGAAAATTAAGGGAAGCTTGAGCATTAGTACTTGATGAAGCACATCGACCTACAACATGACCAAGCAGCGAGACATCAGCAGAGTGTCACCAGAGTTCAGTTCTGCTCTGTCTCACTCACTGACTGCAGGCCAGAGCTGACATTAGCATTGCTGAGTTTCCTGATGTCTCTTAAGTGACCATGTATAAGCCTCTCAGTTTTGATCAAACTACACTTGTGCAGTTTTTCCAGACAGGGGCATTGGAGTTATTTGTAAGTCTTTCAAAATTGGGACCCAGTGCTTCTTTTGCAGAACTGGAAAAGGGTGTGGAAACAGACTATTGTTTCCGATTAAATATCTTTTGGGCCTTTAACTTTGCCCAAAACCTTTAACAGATTTCTCCCAAATGTTGACACTCTGTCGTGCAGAAGTTAAAACGATCAGATGCATCAGGTTTTATTTTCCACTGAAATTGAATAATGAAATTAAACTTGGCTGGGCTCAGTTCACTCTCTCGTCTTTACCAGTTTCAGTTATTGCTTCATGGGCTAACGTTAATGCACGTCAAATTGCATGTTTAAGACCATCAATGTTTTGCATTAACAGAATATCTGTTAGTGCCAAGTGACACACACAGCCCTGGGGTAAAGGCTGTTGAGGTTGTGAGGTAGCAGTGGTCTAATGCCCCACTGGCACCACGCAGTGCTGTGTGAAGACTTGTGGTCTTTCCCCTTGCTGGTTTATTCATCAGTGGGTTTGAGCACTTGGAAATGGAGGAAGACCATAATCATACACCGGGGTCTTTGTAATGAGTTTGGGAAGACGCTAATCTCTGACTCCCCCTGTCCTTGCAAGCGTATTGGAACCTGTGGGCCATTCCTGCCCCACCCTGTCCTTGACCAACTTGACCTTCTCCCACAGCAGTGAGCTCCTGAGTGATGTCCTTTTCCAGCGGAGCCTGGAGATGCAGGGGCATGGAAAACAGAGGTCCGACTGCTCGGACTTCCTTTGTTTATTGTTCAAAGCCTTTAAACATTTCAAGGAACTTTCGTTGTTGTTGTTGTTGTGTTTCAAGCTAAGCCAGGCGGGAGGACTTCTTTACTTCAATTCCCTAATTTCCTGGGCTGTACCGCATTCTAATAACTCTGTCTGCACAGATATGGAAACGCTGTTGGTCTTAGGGCTGTGCATGTCATGGCCAACCTGGGTGTGCACGTTCCAGTCCAAGAAATTGTCAGATTAGAGACTCAGTCAACCATCACCATTAACTCTTTCCCATTTGCTGTGCACCGTAATTGCAGTTGTCTTGGAACAGCTCCAGCAGTTAAGAAAAAAAAAAGCGTTTGACAGCAAAATGTTATCTGAGCAAAAAAGCCTTTTCTTTTTTTTTCTCCATTTTTGGTTAATGCACTTTCCATGCCATTTATTCTGATTCAGATTTAATTTAAACCAGACTGTGTTTTTTTTAGATTAAAACAGTATAGTTTGGATTCCCAGCTTTCTTGGAGAGGAGAGGTTTGCAGTTTGGACTTTCTGGGCTGCTTGAATTTCTTCCATCGGTGCTCCCATCCTAGAAAACATGATCTGCTCCATTGATATTCTTTGCTGCAGCTTTACCAAGGACACTGGACTCTACCCTAGAGCGTTGGAGCCACAATGGGCTGATTTTGATGGCATGGCTGGACTGATCGCACTAGACTGTTGTATTTGATTGGTTGGAGAGCCAAGTAATGCCACTGGATATTTACATGCCCTTCATGATTCAAACCTGTTCCATGACCTAAGTACTCAAGTCCCTATTTGTTGCACAAGAATAAAGAGCCAGTTATCCATGGTATTATTCGCAAGGAAACTGAGTGATGACCTTTACAAAACAGCTACAGCAGGCTGTAGCCATTTTGAAGCTACAGTATTTTCAGTCCTGTAACCAGTCCCGGGTGCTGGGGACAGAGCCACATGGCCCAGCTCACTTTCTCATTGCAATCAGTAGTAAATTGAATCCAGGACCATGGCAACATCAGTATGCCCCTGTCTTACCCTTTTCACTTATTCATACACAACTAATTTGATGTCATGCGTGGTTAGATTTTGTTCATACTGTGGAGGATGCTGATTAAATGTCTAATACCTGTCATCTTTAGCTTTAATAAGGGATCATGTAGCTGTGCAGAACAGAACCTCAAACTCGGCCTTGCAGTTTCGCGACATCTGCGGCACTGCCTTCACCGGCGACTTTGGGTGAATGCAGGCAGGTTCTCAAGCTGAGTCCGGTCACCTTCCGGCCTTCATACACTCCTACAGGGATACAGTTGGACCAAGCACAGCCTGAAGGCTGCAGAGGCGGGCTCAGTGCCTACTGTCTGTGTGCGAATGGACAGACTGGCCGCAGTGAAGATCAGTGCCAGCTGTTGCCTCATACATATGAATGAATGTGACGCTAAGGGCCCATACTGTTGCTATTACACACCCCTATGATTCTCTTTCCTCATACACAGAAAACAACACATAAACAGCAAATAAAAGAGGACTGATGATGGAAAATTGCATCCATGTGTTTAGTAGCCGAGTGCGGTTAATTGGCCATAATATCAGATTGTTGGCAGGATAAACATTGTGGGACAAAAATCCAACCCCTTTTAACATTAGCCCTAATTCTTTTTTTTTTCTAGACAAAGACAGAAACCTTTTATTGCTTTCAGATGTTTACAGGAGTTGGTTCGCTAGGACTGCTGTTTAAGAAACCAGCAGACTTCACAATCTTTTATGTGCTTCTCAGTAGCCATTCAGGTTTCGTTTCACACGGAACCCTGTGATCATATGAAAGGCAGGGATTTATTGTTTCCGTGTGATGTTTGACTGCTGGCAAGGTTGTGACGTGCAGGACAGGCAGAGCGCTTCTGTCTACGAGCTACAGACTCTTGTACTGTATATGAGCCTGCACCCGATGTTGGGCATTTCAAGCTTGTTTCTCTGCTTGTAGTAAATAATCACAGACAGAAATAAAAAGCTTGGCTGTGCAGCCACTTAATTCTCTCAGCATAGAGAAATAACGATCACTCTTCCAAACGTGCCAGAGAAGAGGCCGCTTGCTATCTCATCAGTCACATACACAGGGCTACTACATGAGGGCCGCTTTTATTGTACTGTATGGCTGAAGCTGGCTACATAACTAGTTCTATAATTGTACATGGCAAAATAAAAATGGCACCTTTATTAAACAAGCAGTTTCCTGTGCGGACAGTGCAAATGACTGGACCACTGAGAACAAGGTGGTAAATGAATCACTCAATGCCTTTAATGTTTTCCCTTGTAAAAGCAGTGAAGAGCCTTTTCTGTGTTTACTGTAACACACTTGATGGACCATAGTTAAGCCCTGCTTGCAAATCTTCAAATATATAGCTTGATGCTATATTGGGCGGTATGGTGGCTCTGTGGCTAAGGATCTGCGCCTGTGGCTGGAAGGCTGTCGGTTCGTATCCCACGGACGGCAGAGAAATCCTACTCCGTTGGGCCCCCGAGCAAGGCCCTTAATCCCAACTGCTCCAGGGGCACTGTATAAATGGCTGACCCTGCGCTCTGACCCCTAGCTTCTCTCCCTGTCTGTGTGTCTGTGTCTCATGGAGAGCAAGTTGGGGTCTGTGAAAAGACAAATTCTTAATACTAGAGATTGTATATGGCCAATAAAGTGATCTTATCAAAGAGGACATTTCATTCACAATAAATCTGCTGACCCAGGAGTAATGCTTCTCTAACATTAATTTCTGGAGATACTTGCTAGCTGTTAAAGGAGAAAATTGGCATTGTGCTGTGGATATAAACTGAAATGGAACAATGACTTAACGTCCAAAACGTTTGTTCAAGATGCCACCTAATCAGACATGCACACCATTTTGAGACTCGTACTTGTCAAATAGCCTTGGCAAGCTGACTCAAGCTTCTTTGACAGCGAAAGCAAATGTGACAACAATGCGGAATATAAAAAGGAGCACACATGTATTTGCTAGCTTGGTCTCCTGCTTCCTGCCTTATGCAGAATTCTGATGTTTATGCACGTTAACATAGCAGGGCTCTGTCCATTGAAACAAAAATGCTGGTGTTTGGGCATATTCTTGGATGAATGATGCAGTGTCCATCCCCAATTTGGAAACAGTCTCGTGAAGAACATAAGACAGTTTAATTTTATTTTAATAGAAGCTGATTTATGATCAGGTGTAGACTGAAAAAAGGAGAAAATGCTTTTTGTAAAATTGAATACATGCCTTACTTTTGGCTGCTGTTTTTGTTTTTTGTGGTAAATATAAATTAAATGCAACCTGCACTGTACAAACAATTCTTGTCATTTGTTTCTTCCCAATATAAAAACCAAAAACAGGAGATTATTTTTTGGGTGTTAAATAGATAATGGTAATAAATTCAGGTTTACATGTGTTGTAGGAACAAAGTGTTACTGATTTATAAAAGTGTCTTAAGAACTGGAACGAAGAGTTCTTGTTAGACCAGAACCATGACACCAATGTTTGAAAAATGCCTGGATAGATTATATCCAATCTGAATTAAGAACTCATTCAAAGTGTGCTGTTGGGGCACTTTTTTTTTTCTTTGATCTGAAGTGCAGTGTTGTTAAAAGACAGAATTACAGTAGATCCTAAATTGCTTTGAATGGGGCACTCAGAAAGGACATGTACAGTGATACGGTTATAAAACATCTCTACCAGCAGCCTGTGTCTGTAAAGAAAAAAAACCCATATCTTTATGTGCAATAATAAAATAGATATTAAAAAAATTCAAGAGTACAAGAGTCATCTTTGTCCCAATACTTTGCACTAATCTGTTGTTGAGGGCAGAAAATGCAAGTACAAATTGCAGTTCTTCCACGTGAATACGTCTTGAAACAGAAGACAAGCCGTGCAGTAGTGATCTGTGGGTCGACCCACGGTTGTGAGAAACAAACCTGCACTCGCCCGACCCGATCCAGAACCCGAGCTGCCTGACCTGCGGGTGAGTCAACCCGCACATCACTACTGTGCAGAGATGGAATAAGTATAGAATTTGTGAACAGTCATACAGATCAAGGATGCTAAGTTTTCAAAATGACATGTGTGATGCTGTCACAATGAAAACATTCTGAAGTTTGGAGTAGGACCTCGATGAGGTTTGTCCAGCCTCTTGGACAGATTGCTATGGGCTGCAGGCCATCATCATGGTGCTCTCCTGCTTGCGATCATGGAAATCTCATCCCACAGATCTGCTGTCGCACTCTGTGTCACTGTCTAGAGAAAAAGCTGGTCATGTCATTGCCATTGTAATCTTAGCACTGTTGTCTTGCATTGTCCTGCTGCAAGTTCATATTTCTGGATTGCGTTGCAGGAACAGATAACATTTCATCAAGGTGTCGCTGAGCAGGAAGACTGCTCTCATGTCTACAGTCTGTGTCAAAGACATTCTTGTGGTGAGATTCTGTCCCATATCATCATGCCTCCAAGCCCTAACCCTGATGTCTCCTATCAGGTCTGTCAAAAACAAAACCACTCCACCACACCAAGTCTGTCATCTCCAACGTTTTCTGGCTACAGACGATGGTGAGTTAATTGATCTGACTTCCAGGCCATGTGCCGTCCCTTGCCGAGTCAGTTCAGTTCTCTAGTCTGCTGACTGACGGGGAACAAATCATTCTCCAGGCTGCTTCTCTCACGAACGGTGCTTCCTAACTCAGGCCTTGCATTGTTGAGCTATTAAAATCCTGTCGTTTTCTGAACGGCTTTGGTACAAAACACTGAGCGCACGGTATTTTTACAAAACGCCTCCGTATTTAATTTTCCCAAGAAACAAAGGCTCGGTATGTAAATAACATTATGTTTGGATGCAATGAGGTACTGGTAAACATTTTCAAGGAGCAGCAGTATATGTGAAGGAGGGTTTGAACTCTTATATGGTGGCAATGTCATTGTCACCAGTGAATTTAGTACTTTTCTGTTGCGAAAATCAACTATCCACCTCGTTTTGAAGAGACATCCCTTGTGCTGCTGGAGGAGGAACAACCAACTTTATCATCCTTAGAAACGCTGAACAAGTGAACGAGGCGCTGGAAAAGCTGAGCTCTGCAACAGCTGCCTCTCCTGTCTCTTCAATTCCGGATTCAGCCCTTCCATGGAATGGTTTTTGAGGTATGTTTATTTTTAACGTAGAAGCCAGCATATTAAAATTGAACGATGAAAAGGCTGATTCAGTTCAGCAGCTTGAAATCCAAGATAAACAGGCAGACCCAGCTTGTTTGGATAGAAGGACTGTTTCTGCATCCATGAAAAGAGAGGGGGTTGGAAAGGGAAGACAAACAGTAAGGTCCCAAAATTGTGTCCTGAAACCATTTTTACTGCCTCTGTTAAGGACGGAGGTCTCGTGAATCTTTTTCTGTTCTCTGTTGTGTGCTTATATTACAGTGTAACAGAGACCTTCCCCAAATTGTCCCAGCTGGATGGCCCCTTTCCAAGCTGCTCGTCTCAACAGGGACCCCCGGGCTGTAAATTAACGTAAATGCCAACTTGAAACGCAGATTCGCTGTCAAAATCTGTCAGGAACGTGCCTCAGTCATGAGCAGCAAGACTAGCCTCTCTTCCCCAGGGACTTGAGTTACATGCAGCCTGATCTTCCAGCACTGGGGTCCTCAGTCCCTCAGTCCTTGTCCTGCTGGTGTCGGCCCCTGAGTCCTCGGTGAACTGGACGCTTACAAGACCTGATAACAGGTTTAATTTGAACTCTGTAGCTGTTCAACAGGAGGTTGCCTTTTAACTATTGTGTTTCCTGCGTAACATACAATTTCCAACCTTTGAGCAGAAAAAAAAAAACCTTCCAAAGGCTCAAAACAAGCAATAACTTGGTTTGGTTAATGATTCTTTCTATAAAAGAGTTCAGCCGCAGTTAAAACCATCAGCTGTTGGGGATTTCAGTATTACAATTTCAGGATTTATTTTTACTCTAGGTGTTTTTAGACTGTTTGGGAGGGGGGTTCACCTCGAACTTAAACACTTCATATTTCTAACCTTTGGAAATTTTCATTCACATTATACTGTACCTATATTATGGGGAACTTACCATGGGAAAAAAAGAGCTTCTACACAAGTCTCAACAGCATCAAGTTTGGTGTGAAACTGCTGATGTGCAAAGTGTGTTGTGTGATCTTTGGGATGGTGCAGAATTAAAGCTTTTTTGTGAAAAAATATATAACCGACTACATTCGCAGCAATGTGTGGTTTTGTACGGTAGATGGCGCCCACACGATGGGTATTGTACGTCATTAGCTCTCCGCCGCATCACCACCAAGAGCAGCGCTGTTAAAAACGCAATTGTAGAGCAAGGACGCGTAAAAAAGATGGATTATTAATTAAGTGATGTGCGTATTTCAAAGTTCGGGTAGCACAGATTTAATGTGCAATTTCTCTGATGTCTATATGCAGCGGTTCGGGGCTTTTAGTTTGAAAAGGTCTCGACAGGAAGTTGCAGGAAGTGTCACTGCGCTAAGATGCCGAGGCGATCTCGAAGACCACTTTCACAAAGTGACCATTTAAAAAGCACAGGGGGGAGTAAGGAGACTGGGAGCAATTGAGCAGAGCAGGTATTTAGAGCGTCATGCGTCTGTTTGCTTACAAAGTAATTTAGCGTGAATCCCGGTTTTCTGGATTTCTAGAACTCGGCTAGGCACGTTGAAGACCAACTTTAAAGCTTGCCAATCCACAAGTCGTGCATTTAATGCTTCTTCCAGATAAGAGGTCAGGAAGTTATGTGGTTTGTCTACGCGCGAAAGTGTATTCGTGATTTAATACGTGTGGCTAGTTTTAATTAGGTTGACAGCCGGACTTTCCGAGTAGAAGAGCCAGTTTATGCCCTTAAAACTCCATCTCCACCAACCACCACTTAAATCGTCCTCCAGTTACAACGTGAATTTCCAGCAAACAATTCACATTTAAAGTTAAATAATACACTCCTGTATTCATACGGCACAATGTAAGGCACTGCTTGTCATGCTTTGGCATGTGGTGTCTTACAGTGTACAGGAGGATGGTGTGCTGGTCTGTTTCCTGTTACCCACAATACAGTGGGCCTGTGGGCCTGGCCCAACGTGACCTGTGAAGAAACATGATGAATGGACCACCTGGCTGTGTAGCCTGTTCCCTACTCCCACAACCTTTTGTGCGAGGAAGTGCCAACAAAGTATTTTACAGCATCTTCCTGTCTGCTCGGCTGTCCTTTTTCAGTGCCATTGGGCCTGTGGGGTTCAAGAAAGCCAACGGGGTTTATTCAAAGAACAAAACGAAGGTCTGACTTGGCTTAAAGGAACTGAATCTCTTAAGTCTTGGTCAGAGACTATGCCTGAAGTGCTGCCACACCTCCAGTCTGAATTGTCAGACGGGTAATTTGGGTAGAAATGTGGAGGAGGGTAGTTACTGTATGTTCCTATTGCTCCTGCTCTGTTTTAGCGTTTTGTAATCTTCCAAATAAAAATGACCTTTGCACTTGTCATGTATATGTGTGCCTGAAATAGCCGTGCAAGCTCAATCTGGAGATAACAGGGGTACAGGTCCTGTCTGGGAAAGCTGTGTGGCGCACACGCACTGTAGTTGGGGCTGTACTGAGCAGCGAGCCGATGCCTGTGTGTTGCAGCTGGGCAGATGTGGAGCGCGGACGAGGTGGCCAGGCTGTGCCATGAGCGGCTGGGCTCCCTGCCCAGGCGGGGCATGCCGGAGGCGGGGAGGGAGTGGACACTGCTGGCCGCCGTCGTGAAGATCTCGCGGAGCCCGTCGGCTGGTCAGGGCTCTGCAGGGGCAGAGCACACGGGTGAGTCTTGCTCTCCTGGCCACAGGACGCTGCCTGTTTCCTGGAGGTGCAGAACCTTAACCCTCAGCAGAGAAGCCCGTAAAATTCTCTGGCCATCGCAATTTGATACCAGCCTTCCCAAGAGAAGCGGGGTGGTGGCGTGCAGGGTTCGTCATGCTGTAGGATGAGGACAGTATTATACCCCTGGAGCTGAAGAGCAGCGTGCTTCAGCTTCACAGGCCCCTCTGCACAAATGTGTGCAAAAAAGAAAAGCTGTAATGTGTAGCATTCGGTGTCTTCATATATAAATCTGCAGCTGTGAGCCCTGAAGGAAATCCAGCTGGCTATGTGATTGTTTTGCTTCTCTCCCCAGATCAGAAATGAGTTTGTATTGTTCCGCTACAAGTATATGGAAACCAAGGCAGTAATTGACCGTCTAAGTTTAGCACTGGCACCTGAGTGAGATTTACATAGTGGTATTTTAATGATTAGTCTAGTGAAACTCCAAACAAAGACTGGAATACAGTGGACGGTTTTAATAGTATTTCTTTTGTGATGTAATAGAATACAGAAGCCAGTCTTCTATTGTTTGGAGTGGTGAGGAATACCTTTGCTTTGTCATGTTGCTGAGACTAACATCCTTCATTTGACAGCACGTGCAGTGTGTGGTTTGTGTAGTAGCACTGTAATTGCTTGATGTAGGAGGTTGTTTCCTTATAAATGTGACGGGAAGGCTGCTCTTAGGCGCGGTGGTGAGTAATGCTGCCTCCCGGCCCCGGAGCCTGCTTCAGTACCAGTCCGGGGCTGCTGTCTGCATGGAGTCTGTATGATCTTCCAGTGTTCATGTGGGTTTCCCCTGGGTGCTAAAGTGTCCTCCTCCAGTCCAAAGACGTTAACTGGCTTCTGGCAAGATACCCTGTGAAACAGTGAAAAGGAAACTCCAGAATGCTAAAATGTAGACACACTTGGGAATAAATGGACAACGCTACATTTGAAAATACCTGGCTGCCTGATTTTTAGTAACAGGAGTTGGAGCACAACGTTGTATACCACGTGAATGTATCAGCTGTGCATCCCTTTTTTTCCCTGATCAGTTTTCTATTGGCTTCACAGTTTTAAAGGAGGTGGTTGCTATGGGGACCGGAACGAAATGCATCGGCCAATCCAGAATGAGCAGCAGTGGTAAGGCCTGCGAATTAAGGCTTGGGCTTTTCAGAGCGAGATTCCCCGCCTCCTCCTCCCTCACAAAGACACCTGTGCCTGGTGCAGCAGCGTTGTTAGGAGCATGTGAAAAGTGCTCTCATCTTCGCAGAGGACACAAGAGAGGAATAACTGGGCTATCACAAGAGCTTCTGATTCTCATTTTTAGTAGATAAGTACTGATCCACCTGATGAAGACCAGCCAGTTGACGTGAGGCCCATTCAATAAAAAACTCAGCTCCAACATCCGTGCAAGACCAAGTCTGATTTAATGCCAGGTGTTTAGATTAGGGGACAAATGTACAATCTGTGGATTTTAAGATGCTCATTGTAAAAGTAAGAACGTGCTTAGACTCACTGTACTCTCAGATCGCAGCTGTAAAGTACACCAAGTGCCACGCGCGGTCAGTTCTGACAACCTGTAAATTAGCAAGGCCCTGAGCCTGGAAGACAGGACTGTCAGTTTCAAAAGACAATGACGAGGTGGTGCAGGGAATTTTCAGGAAATGACTAAACTCCCAGCGTCGTTATAGTTCTTTACCAAGTGAACGCACTGGACAAGCCTGGCTAGAAGCCCTGGTGCAGGTCCTGCAGGGGTGTGCAGTGAAGGCCTGTCGAGGGAGAGCTGGCTGTGGATTATCCCAGCGCCGTGAGGGTCACGTGAGCTGCCACTCAAGGCCTGCGGTCCGGGTTTCGGGTCTCCCCGTCTCCACAATCTTTCATTTCCGCTCAGACTCCAATTACTTCACTGCTCACCTTGATCAAACTCCTAATTCAAGTGTTTTCTTTCATCCTTTTAGCCGCTCTCTGCTCTGCCCTTGATGTCAGACACCTGCATTATTACAGAAGAAAACTGCGAACAAAGCTCTTCTCTGTCTGCCCCAGTTTAAATGACTCTTAAGAGGTTGACAATTGATTTACCAACAGAGCTCACAGTACATCCAAGACTCAGAATAATCACTAGTTTTGCTGGAGCTCTACTATTTAAATTCTTGATAACTGGGCTCAGGTTAAATGAAAGCTTCATCCCCGCTATCATATTACCAGTCTAAGTCCCAGATCTGGGGGAAAAATGCCAGTGAAAGAGGAGAGGCTGAATATCTAGCGCTTAGTGTAGATTTACTAATTTCTACCCCAGGTATTCTTCTTTTAAGATAATAAAGCCTTAAACAAAACAGTGTCATTAAACAAATTGCACCGTTTAACGGTTGAATTAGCCAGCTGAAGGAAGGCGCTGGGAAAGTGGTGGTGATTTAATGTGAACTCACACACTATATTACTTTAAGTACAGGTTGTCAGAGCTCTCTTCTCTGTCCTGCCTAGGGGATGTGCTGAATGACAGCCATGCTGAAGTCATAGCCAGGCGTGGGTTTCTCAGGTAAGCCGCACTGCAAACGCCTGATCAATCAATCAGCAAGTTTCAGCACCTGGAACGCTTCCTTTTTGACAACAATGCATGTTTCAACACAGGATTCCACATCCCATCATGGGTAAGTTCTGTGTCAGAAATTCAGCGCTCTGTGGTTGTATGCCATTTTCTGAGTGGGCTCCTCAGGGACCTGAGCTATCCTGGTTAGCGTTTTGAGCACTTTTTAGTGCTTTTTATGTTCATATGTCCTTGTAGTCTTTATGACAGGATAACAAGGGCAGATAAAATTGAGACTGGGAAGCTCTTTTTTACGCTAAGGGTGGTGGATGTCTGGAACTAGCTGCCCAGCCTGATTGTCGAATCTGCTTTCTTTCGAGCAGTAGCAGGATGAGGCTCTCGAATTGCAGGAGACAGCAGTGCGTTTTGTGCCGGTGTGCCGCAGGTACCTGACGGAGCAGCTGAGGCTGGCAGTGAGCAGGGCAGGCAGCAGTGTGTTCGCCCCCGGGACAGACAGGGGCCGATGGAGTCTTCAGCCTGGCGTGTCCTTTGTGTTCTTCACCAGCCATACGCCCTGTGAGTGACAGGCGGCTGTCTGTGCCTCCAGCGCGCTTCCTGATCCTGATCAGCTGATGTATTCCTGCACTCCTGTGAGCAGGCTGTTGCTGTACACTCAGAGGTGTTTCTGTCAGTTTGAAAACTTACCGTATGGGGCAGAAAGGGTTGTGAATATTCAAATTACATGTTTATCTAGGTGCCAATTGAAGTCCGAGACAGATCGTAGTGTTTATGAGTTTTCTGAGATTGTTTGACTTTGGTACCAGGTGACCGTACAGAAATAAAACCCCAATTAAAATAGACCAGGAATCATTTCAGTAAATATTGAAATACTTTATAAAACCTTTCAATCACCAATGATCAAGAAACTCTTTGATTCAACATGATAGCTGCAAAACTGTCAGGTTCATTGATGTGTCTTTGTAGGTGGAGATGCCTCCATTATCGCTATGGGCGAGAGCCAGGACCAGCCCTGCCAGCCGGTCAGCACACAGGAAGCACTCTGCAAGGCTTGGGTTCCAGGTCACAGTGACTCTCGTGATCACCTGACCGTGGAGAAGCAGGAAGCTCACAGTGATGTCACAGATCACCTGATCACAGACAAGCAGGAAGCTCACAGTGACATCAAAGATCACCTGACCGCGGAGA